TCACCTCATTTCTTTATTTCTCCCCAACCAAAAGAGCCCAACTCTTCGCCCACAAGAATGAAATACGACAACCATACCCCATATCTCTCTATCTTTTCCCATTTCACACTCCACCACAGCCTCCATGGACAAACTAGTGAGAAGTACCACCACCACTCTCAGCGGGCGGCGCTCAAATGGGTACGAGCAGCTTGATAACACCATATTTACACATGTTTTTCCGAACATTTCTTGATCGTTTGACTTAGCATTTGATTGCTTTCGGGCCCGTGCTAGGTAGTGTTTCTTGATGACGTTTTAGGTCCTAGTACGTGAATGGAGGCTTTAGAGCAAGTTTCGTGACGTTTTGGAGCGACCGGGCAGAAGTCAGCTAGAAATTACTGCCAGACACTCAAAGGCCGTAACTCGTCAGCCAGACCGTAACTTCACAGTTAGGATAAACAGAGAGTTTCTCAAAGTTACGGGCAAAGAGTCGATGTTGCAGCCATGACCGTAACTCTTGGTTTACGGGGTTAAGAGACATCGCCGTTTTAGGGAAGTTACGGGCGGATGAAGGAAAGTTACGGCCATAAATTTTGCCGTAACTCGCGATTCTTTGACATACCAAAGCCCAAATCGGGCAATTTGGTAGGGATCCGGTTTCGCAAGTCTGGAAACAGCTATAGAGAACCCTAGGGAGAGAAAGTGATGAAGAATAACCTTTGTAAAGGATTGGAGCAACCTAAGGACATTGGGGCTCGATTTTTCACCCTCGTAGTTCCGATTTCTAGCATAGACCAGATTGGACCCAGTTTTGTGAATGATTGACTTGATATATTCAATTGAGGCATTATTCAGAATTCCATGAGTCCTTATTAAAATTTTGTGATTCATGCTTTAACCTAGAACGATAGTCTCTGCATAGGTTAATAGAGCAACCTTAATTCGAAGTAATGGATCGATTACTTTAGTCAAGGAATTGTTTCACTGCTCTATACTGGAATTGAAGCCAGTAGTGGAAGTTTGGTGTGTTACTGCCTCGGTTAGCTAACGTCGGTGGAGGCTAGTTGCCTGCCGGGTATTCGAACTGACATGGTCTGGAATTCTTTAGTCAAGATTCCAGACTTGTCAAGAACTTTATGAGATATATCTTTTAATTGAAACGAATTGGGGAATAATAATTTGAAATAACTGCAAACTAGGGGGACTCAAATCTGGATGGCCTTTTGCATACTTGAAACCAAAAAAAATTCATACTTTCTGTTTACTTTGCTTTTGAACTCTTTACTCAAACTCAACTGCTAAATAATACATTTGCATGGAGTAGTTAGGAGACCTAGGACCCGGGTTGACAAACAGAACCTGAACCTTATGCTACATTACTAGACTGGGATTACACTTGGTCATAGTTTGGTTGTGTTAGTTTTAGCGAGTCACAGCTCCACCCTTACTACGAACCCACCACCACCACCACAAAAACAACGACGTTTCCTCCTTCCCTTGCACCCCCTAAGAAGCGCACCTCATCCAGGAGCCGGATTGCTACGACTCCAGACAACAAAATCACGAGGGCAAGATAGATGCAGATATTCTTGTGGCCCTACCAATTGGCTTCGGGGAGCAAACTTCAGAGTCGGCGCCTGCCGAGAACAAGGAGGCTGAAGAAAGTGGCGGTCAAGGTGAATATGGTGGTGGCTTTGCTTGTGAGGTGTAGACATCGGTGATCCAAATGTTGAAGGGCTCGATGGTTTTCCATGGGAGAATAGGTGAATGCCCTCGACATCATCTGCGGCGGTTCTACGAATTGATCAATGGGATCAAACTCAATGGAGTACCTCAAGATGCTATCATGCTCCGCTACTTCCCTTTCACCCTGGAGGGACTGGCTAAGACTTGGGTGGGTACTCATGTTCGAGGACCGATCAACACATGGATCGCCTTGGCTGACAAGTTTCTGAACCGCTATCATCCCCTATCAAAGACAACGAATCTGCAGAAGGAGATAACTCACTTTGGCCAAGATGAAGATGAAAACCTCTGTGATGCATGGGAGAGATACTCCACTCTCTCCCTAAGGTGCCTCAACCACAACTTTAGCGACTTCTTCAAAGTGAGAAAACTCTACCAGTCCCTCTTTCCTAAAGACCGACAGCTGATTGATTTAGTTTGTGGAGGAAATAATGTTGACCAAGACGCCCCTGTAGTTTACCCAACTCTTCGAAGACATGGTAGAGCAGGGTTAGAATTGGGGATCTACCAAGAGGTCTCAGCGCACTTCAAGGCGTGGCATGCACGTTGTGGATACTCAATCGTCTACCTTGGTGGATGTGGTCTCTATGCTGGTTATGATGATTGATCGTAACGGGATGGTTCTAGGGACAGTCCAACCATAGGTCAAGTACTGTCAGTGGTGCAAGAGCACCAACCACATGGTGGAGGACTGTCAAAGAAATGAGGGAGTCTACCTCACCTTAGGATCAGCTGGACATCATTAGCATTCTCAGGCATATCGCCCCCTGCAACAACACTTACAACGAGGGGTGATGCCAGCATCCTTATTTCTTATGGGGTGGCAATAGCAATCCTAAGACACCAGGCTTCCAGGCTCCACCAAGCTTTCAGAGACCACCATACCAGCCCCTCCAGGGCCAATTCCATCAGCAGCAACAACCTCTTTACCAACCCAAACAAGGGCGACCTCTACCTCAGCAGCAGCCACAATAGTTTTAGCAACCGGGCACAACCCTAGCAGCCCCAGTTCAGCGTGATGCGATGGCTTTGCTGCGAGACATTGTAGGTTCTGTTTCCATTTCCAGCTCACAAAAATTCAGCAATATAGAGCAGTTCATGGAAAAGGACTTTGGAAAGTTCCGAGAGCTTGAAGCTGGTCAAAGGAACATAGGCTGTTCGGCATAGTGTAACCGTTATGAATCGAGCAACTGGCGAGTATAGCGTGACAACCGGACACCGGGAGGATGGTAGACGTGGTGGCCATCGCATGAAGTTTTGGTCAATTTCAGGGCAAAACATGGTGAGTGTTCCTGCCAGTAGTATCAGGGGAGAGGATGGCCATGTTCGCATGCAATGGTCGTAAACAAAAGCAGGAGCAAAGACCCGCGTCACTTCGTGAGTCCATTCTTCAATATCGACTCACTAAAAGTTGCTATGGACGGAGCTTCCGTGCATTGCCTGATGAAGCTTACTGGCCGGTGTATCAAAGAAAGTTTATCATACCGCCGTTCGGAAAGAGGCGTGAACCGGGTCACCCGAGGGTAAAGAGTATTCCGAACGAAGTGGATCAAAGTGGAAGACCACCACGAAGCCCAAGACGATGTTTCGTATGCAGAGTTCCAGGGCATGATTAACGAAATTGTCCTGGTCCGTATGCAAACATACTTAATTAATTAAATTAAATTAAATTTTAAATGAATAATAATTTAAAGAGATACATATTCAAATATTTGAAATTAATAAAATTATAATTGTACACATACACATAAATCGTATTGGTTGTTTTAAATAATTTAATCGAATACAATGCAACACTCGTAAGACTCTTAGAAGAGGTATACATCTTCTTAGAAACGCAACCTTTTTGACATAAAAAGGGGGGATCCGAGGATCGCTTAAAACCCAATTTTTCCAAGGAATGGGAGAATCATGCTAATCGCTTAAAACCCCATTTCCTTAGGCATGCATCTCTTTATAAAGAGTCTAAGTAAGTGGCGCTGTGTATTCGATTAAATTATTGAAAACAACCAATACGATTAAAAATTATCAAATTTATTTTATATTCCACTAAGTACGTTAACAAATTAAAAGAAAGAGAAATGATGAAGAATTGTATGTACCTCGTGATCGTTCCAAACATCTCTTGAACGATGGTTGGGTTGGTCGTACAATACGGTTAGATCACTACCCCCTTGATCAACATAATATCGTTGGTTGTATATATCCACGTCGTCCCCAACCTACGAGAGAATAACAACAACATTAGTACATAGATTAATTGAAAAGGTTATAACAAAAACATTTGGTAAATGAGTACGTACCGCTTGAAATTCATCATAATAAATTCCCTCTTCTTGGAACCACTCGTCCATTTTTTCGCGAAAGTCGGACAAAGATTCGGCGGGTTTTGAAGGAAAATCCAAAGAAATGTTTTCTGATGGCAGTTCAGACGTAGCCGCAACCAACATACCACTATTTCCTAGGCTTTTGGGAGGGGAGGGGGATGGATAGAGAGATAATTTTATATATATATAGAGAGAGAGGAGAATGGGTTGTAGTGTGAAAAAATGAGGAGGGGGTGGGGGTATTTATACTTTTCAGACCGCACCCTCCAGGGGCGGTCTCATAATTTTGCCGATTCCAAAACCACACCAGGAAGGCGCGGTTCAAGTCGTCCGAGGCGATGAGCGTTCGCCAGGCGCGCAGTCTTTGATCCCTGACGCGGATCGCTGCGCTGGCGCGCTGTTAGCTATTGGATTGCCGCCTCATCCAACGGTGTTGGGGACCGCCGTCTCGGGAACACATACCTCACGCTGAGAGTGCGGTTTTCGGGCTGCTCTAGCGTGGACCGCTCCCCCTTGTGCGGTTTGCACATAAAACGCACCTTGAAGGTGCAGTTTAGGATGAAAGGTGCTATTTTTGGAATTTGTGTGGGCTGGGTGCTATTTTTGTAATTTTTTTTAAAAGTTGCTATTATTGGAAATATTTCCAAAATCCATGTCATCATATTTCCTGCCTGTGTTGTTATCCTCTTTTTGTGTTATATTGTTAAGTAATCGTGGATAGACAAGGTCTAAGACTCTATAAGTACTTAACAAGTTTAGAGCACTATTGAAATATTATAATAGGGAGCGTAAACAATCAAAAACATTAATGTGAGAACAGTCTAGAAGTCTTCCAAAATTTGATGGGATTATTTTTCCCTTTATTTTTTTTCCTGTGAAATTTTCTTAATTTTTCGGAAATGAGAATCCTATAAATGAAAGAAAAAAGAGAACAATATTGAAAACGAGAAAGGCTGCAGAGACAAGTGGCAACATTCTCAACCCATCGTTTTCCTACAAATTAGGAAAGTAAGTGATGGAGTTATATGATGCATTATAGAAGACAATGAAACGAGAAGGAAACTATGTTTGCAGGGTAAACACATGAAAATTTGATTGGGGAAGAAGGGTTAGAGGGAGGAGGTGGATGTGAGACAATCGGTGCATTGTATTAGTGTCTCTTTGCACCTTTTGCTTCACAAAACATCCTCCCCAAATTTCCATTTTGGAGACTTGCAGGTTTACACTTCGCCGAGAAATTTTTTTGGTATTCCAGTTTCCTACTCACATCCAAATCTAAGTTTTTGAATCGTTTGACGGAACATGCAGAAAATAGGAACATCAAATGCCAGGGCTTCTCACGGAATCTACAACCATGGGATTTGGTGGTCATGACTCTCATGTATCACAGGTACGCAATGATCAGAAGAAGGAGATTTCAAGTGTAATGAAGAGCAACAAGTCAAATGGATGGGCAAACAACATTTTGTTGATGGCAGAGCTTAGGAAGCAGATACTTATCTTTAGAGGACTCGTTGATCTCCCTCCATGCAATGGTTATGTTCCCATTAATGAGGTACTTCACCAATTTTCTAATTGTAACCATGAATTAGAGAAAAAGACAATTCTTGTCCCTTATTTTATATCGCAAAAGTTTCCAGTAATGAATCTTTTGGCAGTTGCTAACGGAGTTGATCATAAATCTCCATGCTTTGTACCCGGAACTTGTGGTCTGCAATGTGGCTGCCAAAACAATAGAAAGTCCCATGAATCAGGTTCATTTCTTAAATGCAAGAAAAAAGTAACTCTAGGTTGTATGTGATCATACATTCCTATATAAAAATATAATGTCACCTGATGTAATAATGCAAATTAATAGGTACTAATTCAACTTTATAATGCATTGAATTCTATTGGAGACTCATGGCACAAAAGTGTTGTGAAGATGAAGTATGGAAAAGAACCGAGGGAGAGCATGGAGAATGTGACATTGGAGCAACTCAGTAAGATGTCTGTAAGATATCTTCTTTTTTATTCATCATAAGAAATAACATGAATGATATAGTCGATAACTAAATTGTGTTATTATCCAAATATTTGAAGGTCAAAAAGTGCTTGGAAAGATCAATGAACTGATTGTCATTAGAAGGGAAATGTTGGAGAAGAAAAATGAGAACGCGAATGATGAGAGCTTGGTAGAAACCTCAACTCCGGTGGTTATTCCATCCGAATCCAATTCAAGAAAGAGAGAAATCAATCCTTTGAATAGTCCAAAAGTAGTGGAATATTTTCTTTCTTCTCACTTAGAAAATCCTCCCTCTCTTTTTAGAACTGAGGCAACAAAGAGACTGAAGCCACTAGAAATGAAGTACCTCCCATCTAGCTTGGTATCTCCTCTATTTACTCAAGATCTCAACTCTAATATTAAGGGAAAAGAGAGTCCAGAATTTGATGGCATGAAGACGAAAAGTGTTTCTTTAGGGTTACGAGCTGAAATTAATTCCAGAGAGTCAAAAGAAAGCCAAGAAGATGTGAACTCAAGAGTCTCAGGTTCTGAGTCCGTGTTGCATGACTATGAGGTCAGGGAAGCTTCACCGGAAACAAATACTCCAAAGGGGCTTTCAAATGTAGTTTTAGCTATCCAATCTCCAACACTGTATCTACCCTCAAATGAAGATGTAGCTCCACCAACGTTACCGCTAGTTCCACCTCCAAATTCTAAACCATCAAATGGAACTACTCTGCCTGAACTGAAGTCACCTTCTTGTGAAGATGGTCACATATATGGGGAAGAAACATCAGGTTCTGAGTCAAATATGACATGTGAAGGAAAAGAGACATCAACATCACCAATAGTATCTCCTCTACCTATGTTACAAAACCCTGAATGTGTATTGTCATCTTCAAGTGGTACTCCAACTTCATCTCCACTAAGCACCCCTTCAAGCAAGATTGGCAACAATTCCAAAGAAAGTACAAATGGTTCTAATTCAAGCCTAAAATGTGATGTTTCACATGTATATCCACCAACAATACACAAAAGACCGCCTCCACCCCCTCCACCATTGCCCCCGAGAATTTTGTCTTCAATAGAAGCTACATCTCCACCTCTGCCAATTCTTGCACCACCAACAAAGGGATCCATGGCTCCACCTCCTCCACCATTGCCCCCAAGAAATTTCTCTCCAATGGAAGTTATATCTCCAACTCTGCCAATTCTTGCACCACCATCAAAGGGATCCATCCCTCCATCCCCTCCACCATTGTCTCCAAGGAAAGTTACATCTCCACCTCCGCCAATTCCCGAAGCACCAAAAAAGGGACTCATGCCTCCACCCCCTCCTCCACTAGGGATGGGAAAACTCCTACGTCCAAAGAATAACACAAGATTAAAGAGATCGATCCTCATGGTTTATGTGTATCAAGTTCTCAAGAAAAAGGAAGAAGGGCATGTTGGTCCAAAGAGTAATAAAACAGTACAAGGGAAAAGATCTAAAATAGGAAGTAATACAGGGGCTAAACAAGGAATGGCTGATGCAATACAAGAGATTACTAAAAAGTAAGTTGCTCAAACTCCCTTCAAAAAGTTAATTTCTCAGTCATAGTAGATTCAATATTTTTGGACGATAGTTCATGTCATGATAATTTATTCTTTGCTTTCCTTCTATGGCTTCTTAGATCAACATACTATCAACAAATTGAGGCAGATGCCAAGAAGTACGCACCATTGGTGATGGAGATCAAGGCTGCCATTAGTGCGTTCGAGACAAAGAACATGGAAGAACTTGTCAAATTCCTCAGTTATGTTGAAAAAAATCTCGAAAAATTATCAGATGAAACCCAGGTGAAATGAGATTCCCCAATGCGTTGCTATTGTTGTAGGGATAAAGATGTTGTCATCTTAATCTATCAAGCGTCTAAGAGATACCTAAAAAAAACTATATATAAGAACTGCATAACTTCTCTCTTAAATTAAAAAAAACATGGAATTGATCGTTAATAGGAAAACATGACTCTTTTTTTTGTAGGTATTGGCAAGGTTTGAAGAATTTCCAGTAAAGAAGCTGGAAGCATTAAGAGGAGCAGGGGCACTATATTTGAAATTGAAAGCAATGACTAAAAACCTAAAGAATTGGAAAATAGCACCTCCTATAGGTCATCTCCTAGACAAAATTGAATCATATTTTAACAAGGTAATGCTGGTTCGGATTGTGCACATACAGACATAGACTTTTGCCTCATTATTAACACATGGAGTTGCTCTCAATTAGATCAAGCGTGAGATAGAGATGTTGGAGCTAAACAAAGATGAAGAATCCAAGAGATTTAAGAGCAACAACATCCACTTTGACTTCAATGTTATAGTACAAGTTAAGGAATCGATGGTGGATGTTTCTTCCGGCTGCATGGAGCTAGCACTCAAGGTAACGCATTATCATCTCATGGTTTGATTATTTACTACCCACCAAATTCTAAAACTATCCCCATCAGGAGTAAAGTAGAGTAGAAGCTCCATTGGTGATGTTCATCGTCCCTTTTTTTTTGTAGGAATGGAGGGAGGCAAAGATATCAAAGGACTCAAATGGCAGTGGAATGAAATTAAAAGGCCATGCAACAACATCTGGACGGGTTCTATGGAGAACTTTCCAATTTGCATATCGGGTTTATAGTTTTGCTGGAGGACAGGATGATCGTGCAGACTTGTTGGCTAGAGAATTAGCTAATGCAATGGAGATTGATCCTTCACCCAAGTAAAATTTACATGTCTTTATTCTTGTTGGCATAATGAGGTAGCCATGTACAAGCATGCCTAGTGTAATACAATTGGTAGACTTACGGTCCCTTTTGTATCAGTTGATAAAGCTATCAGAAAAGATATGAGAAAAAATGTGTCGATATATATTATGTAAAATGTTAAATAGCAGCAAATTTTGGTGGAAACTAGGTGGTTATGGAGTTTCATCTTCCTTCTCAGTCATAATTTTATGTGAATTGAAGCTAAGATGATTCAATGCATCTTTCTAATCATGTTATTTCCTGTGAGAACATAATGACACTATCAGTTATATACCATTATGAGAGCAATATTAAGTTACTCTCTCTATATTTTGTAGACCAAATCATTCATATCCGTATATTTAAGCTAATACTTCATTTGGAAGATTTTCTTTCATTGTTGCTAACCTACAAGTGTTAGTAATCGATCAAGCACATTCCGGATTAGAGGAAGCTCTCCATCTAACTTCATAAATCCATACAACTATAAGCCATGCTAAGGTAGGTCACATGCATCCCTTGCACTGCAATATAATCGAGTACATGAAATGCATTGCATTACTGGGGAGAGAGAATTTACAAAGACGATGTTTTTTCAGTTTAGATCCTTTGTGAGTGAACAACCTACAATGAACGATTCTATGATGGCAATAGAAACTTTATGTATCATACAATTTTTTTTTAGATTTCTAGTTTCTATTGGTTGATGACAATCTTCCAAATTTCAATACAACGGGAGTAAAATAGAAGTGGCGAAGAGTGTGTGCAAGAGAGAGAGAGAGAGAGAGAGAGAGAGAGAGAGAGAGACAGAGACAGAGACAGAGACAGAGAGATCTGACATGTTATCTGGGGCTGAATGAGGAGATCTTTGGAGACATAATGAAAATCATTGATAGGATATTAATAGTTGAACTTCCTCCTACTGGTGTCCTTCGACGCTCCCGCTCTGGCTACCGTCGTTTCTTCTCAAACCCAACTCCTTTTGAAACAAATTCTCTCCTTTGAAAACCTCTTGGCGGGAGCCAAGAAGGAGAAAAAGGAACTGAAATAAGGTTCATCAGAGGCTATTTGTAATATTGGAATTCAGATTCAAATCGAGAAAAGTTCCACATCCACAAGAGAAAGGAAACGAGCATAGAAAGTTTATGCACATTACCTTACTCATTTACGTTTTTAGCACACATGTCAAATATGCATCAAACGGAAACCAACGGATCAATGAAACACAACACTTCTATAAATCTTGATTAGAGGTTTGCATCAAATTGTTTCGAACCAAATATTAGAAAAAGTCAAGAATAAGGAGATCTGATCCACCAAGTTCAAGTTTATGCACCTAACCTTACCCGCGTATGATTCAATCGAACTAAAACGTTTCTCAAAGGATTTTCAAACGTTTGGACCTCCGAACTTCACATTGCTGATAAAAATGAAATCCAACTTTCACTTCACATCCATGAGAAGAAACACCTGGTATGCCACTTTATCCAACCCACCCAAAGAACACAAAGTCTAGGATCACGTACACACAAGTAAACAAATCATCTATATATTCACTCGTACTCTCGTAGTTGTGAGGAATAAATCATTACATAACCTTCATGCCATGTCATGCACACCACAAGAAACAAATGCATAAACCCATTGAATACAACTACTTATTATACTTATGACAAGAGTTAGTGAGTTGCCCTAATTGCTTTGGGTATTTGCATGCCAATGTGACCTTTTACTATGAGTTTCTCGCCACCATGACAAAAAACTAGCGAGGGGAAAAAATGATGAGTGTTTGATTATCTGCTTCATTGACAACCAACTAACTAAAAGGATGCTTCTTCCCCTTTCCTTTTCCCCCTTTTTTTTTAATTGAAAGTAGTGGAATAGAAAGGAACGAGACTCGTGGCAAAGGGAATGTCCCAACAAGCCGTATGAGGAGGATGCGAAAGGAAATTGAGGAAGCAAGAAGGAAAAAAGCCTATGTTTTCTTCTTATGTCATACTCATATTTAAGCGGAAAAGGGTGGTCCCTTTGCGCGGGATGTTTGTGGACTTGATGTTGTTGTTGAATTCTAGACACAGTGACTAAACCGCTAAGGTTTTAAACAATATACTACATTGAAAAATATGGTCAGGCTGACATACGCTTGACGTCATTAACAATTTCGCCTTTCACATTTAAATTTTAATAAATTGGTTGCCTATCTTTTCATTTATTATGCTTTGTATTTGTTTAAAAGTGTATTTGTGTGTAACTCAAGTGCAATGACTATGAACTTGAAATGATTAAATTGAAATGTTTGCATTTAAAAATTCATTTGAAATCCAATATTAAATATTCATTTCGTCTTTTTAGAATTTTCAAATTCTATGATTCTTTTTTGGATTTTTGAAAATCATTTGGCCGAACAATAACAAGTTTTAGTGCCTAAATTTTTGTGCATTATAGTTCAATCTAAAATTTAATAAATTTTAGACATAAGTCCAATTGTTTTATGAAAATTGTTATATTTTAGTCCGCGTATATATTTTTCATACATTATAGTACCTAAATTTGTAGAACTTTACCATATATTCTAGTAATATGCTAGATATGTGTTACTAGCAATACGCTAGATATCTACTTGAGATTCACCCAAATATCACTATCAAATACAATATCTACTTAAAATTAGAACAAAAGTATTTTTAATTTCAAATCTCAAATGCAAATTCATAGATCCGAACTCCCCCTAATAAACAAACCTGATTTTGTACATACAACCTAAATTCGCATATTGGTATGACGAAAAATAACATTCATATATCGGGATGACCAAATATGATCAAATTGACATTCTTACCAATAAACAACCACAAAATCACTTACATCTCATCTGGCAAATTAGATACATCAATTTACCAATCTCAACTATTAACACAAAGAAATTAATAACAATTAGAATTATCATTTTTTTTTCTTACAAATGTATATGTTATCTGAGCATTCTTCTATTTTTAATTTTATTGACTGAGCTATTACTAATAACACCACTTTGTGCTCTAATTCTTAAAAAAAAACATATTTGTGTACTGATGATGGTTAACGATAATGTTGGAGCTTTTGATAGGCCGAAAATCCTATGACCGGTAAATAGGAAGATGTTTCAAGCATATACATCATACTACATACCCAATGGTTTCTTCATAGAAATTAATCTCATCAATTCTTTTTCCTCAGCTCCTTGACATCGATGCATTATGTAGCATGGTTGATCCTTTTCTCGTAATGAACAAAAACCCTGCTAAGTCACGCTCCAACTTTGCCGATATGATTTCTCCATTTGTCCGGGTAACAAATCTCCCATCAAAAGCTTCTGTTGGTTACATCTCAGAACTTTATGGCGTGTTTGCTTCAACTTCTGCAAAAAAGAAAAAGACCAGCAAATTGAGTAATTTTGAAGTGTAAATAAAATGTGTGCTTGATAAGAATTTACAAAGACTGGAGTTAATGGAGTATGAGATACTTTTGAGCAGCAGAAGAGCAATTGATGGTGTGTTAGGCGGCTTGCTTCATATTGGGTCTTGGGTAGTAAGATTTACATATTTGAAGGGGTTCAGGTGAAAGGTTGTCTGAAGAAGTTAGATTGAAACAATGAGTTTGTTTGAGCTTCTTTTCTCAAACTAAGTTTAAGGAGCTAGATTAATTTGCATCATTTGATTACTTTCCGATACAAAAACCAACATGATGAGCAACAATTCGCAAGGTTAGTTAGCAGAACATAGATACGTTCAACCTGACCTGGAAATATATTTGTCCTTGCCTGCAGTCTGAGCCTGAATTCAGGCCACAGATGTCTGAGGTTGTTCAGGATCTAAACAACATGATCAGAGGAGTCCTGTAGTCAGATAAACACAGTCTCTTGACCCTCTCCTTCTCCCGAGAACATATGTTCTTCGTCAATACAAAATGCACCGCCAAAATTCCACAACTAACAGGCCTCTTGTGCTTCGAAGACTTTGCTCAGTTTGCTGGATTCTTCCCCTTTGAAAGAAGCACAAACAAGACAGAATCTTTCTTCCAAAGGCAATAACAGATCTTTCCCCCCTCCCACAACCAAGTTCATGCTTGTCAAATTTTGTTTGTACCCGTTGTGGTTGATCTGAAAAAAGGTATTTGTAATGCTAGAATGAATGAATGTGCTCTGCAGAAATGTCCTAACCCCCCCCCCCCCCCCCCCATCATTACTATTCTTTCTTTTATGTTTCCTTTGGTTGTTGTACTGTCAAATTTGTTGACACTTCTTGATAATGAAATTTTGGCTGAATTCGTCACAACATAACATGATGATTGGATTCTCCAAAGTTGTTTTTTTTATTTTGTATCTTGTCTCCATGTATGTCCTAATATTGGGAGTTCAACAAGAACTGTTGTTTGCTTTGGAAGATGGAGAGAAGAAAGCAAAACAAAGAATGTTTGAAACTGATAGGGGTCATTCGGATGATAGAATTTGACAGTAACTTCTTTCCATTAAACTATGCAACAGAGAGGCTCTAAGCCCAAAGCTTAAGAATTAGAGGTGGAAACCTCCCACATTATGCTCCGTCTCTGAACAGACCTAGCGGAAACAGGTAGAATCCAACAGGACAGACTGATCACTAATATTTTACAGTTGAGTGTGTGTGTGTGTGTGTGTTATTGAATTCATCAAGAGAAAAGCCTACGATGTACCTTGCCGCATGCCACCAGACTCCTAACGTATTACTCGCCATTTATATATTCTAATACTTCCAAGCAAAGCATTTCAATACATCCAAGAACCTCCATAGATCTGCTAAAAGAATCTTCTGCAGCAATATGTAAAGGACAATATAGGCAGTACAGAATAATATAGTTGGTTTGCTTACTAGGAGCTCAAGCAAAATTCCCCCCCTTGAGATCCATTCAGCCATCGTTTTCAAGTAATTTCAATTTCTCTATCATTCTGTTTTGTAGCTTTGTTAAATCCTTGAAGCCCTGGTAACAAATTGTTGTCTCTATGCTTGAGAACAAATGTTGGTATCTCCCCCGTCCAGGGATTGAGTTTTTTCTGTTTAGGCGATCGCCCTTTGTACTTTGCTCCAAAATATCAAATTTGTTAGGTAACCACACTCATTGAGCCCTCTAAAGTTCTTGGAAGCACCGTCCGGGAGAGGGATATTATGTTATTCTTTCCAGATTCCGTAGACCAATTCGTTCATCGTCGTCGTGCATATTTAAGTTAATACTTCATTAGGAAGATTTTCTTTCCTTGTTGCTAACCTATATGTGTTAGTTAGTAATCGATCAAATTCTGGATCAGAGGAAAGCTCTCCATCTAACTCCATAATCCCTCCCAGGCAATTATCAGCCATGCCAAGGTATGTCACATACATCCCCTACACTGCATTTGCATTCCTCTAAAGAGAGAACTCCAAAGAGACCATTTGCAGGGATGGTGTTTTCTCAATGTAGATCCTTTGTGAAGGACTAACCTACAGTTCTGTCTCATACAACTTGTTTGTTAGATTTCTAGCTGTTTCCCATAGTTGAATGAGAAAAAAATTTCCAAATTTCACTATAACGGAAGTAAAAAGAGAAGCGGAGAAGAGTGAGAGAGAGAGTGACCTGTTATCCGGGGATGAATGACGAGACCTTTGGAGGCGTAATGAAATTCGTTGATCAGATATGGACAGCGGAAATTCGTCCTGCTGTATCCCACTCCGGCCGACGTCGATTCTACTCAACCGAACACCCTTTTGAAAAAAATTCTCTCCATCGACAACATCACTCTATCTCTCCCATCCTGCAGTTTGAACTCTTCATTTCCTTCCTCTTCCCTCTTCTCCCCGCCGCCGTTCATCGTCAATGAAATGTGTAGGAAGAATCCAGGCCGGACGACGAGCAATCGACGGAGGAAATCAGGTAACGGTAACGTGACATGTTGGTCCCGGTGGCGCGCGCCTTTCTTCTCTCATACCAGTCAGTCAACTTACGCCTCCAATTTCATAACCCTCTTCCATCTGCTATTTCTCGGTTTATTCGAAGGAGGACTTCCAAAGGACGAAAGAAATGCACTTTGATCGAAATAGACAAACCCAAAAAGTAACAGATAAGTTTTTTTTGGTAAAAGTTTCTGTGAAAGTAAAGAAGTGGGCTGAATTTGCTCTCTTGAATAAAAGCCCACAGACGCAAGAAGTAAATAATCTGGTTTGGTTTTCGTGATAGTTAAATAAATGCATTATTATCAATACATGTTTAATAATACACATGTATATAAGAAGTATTAGTATCTTATTTTTGTCCGAACTATGATCATATAATCAACTTTGACCGTGGTTTTAGAATTAACATCCAGGCCTCAACTATGCAGCATATGGTCTCAATTGGTCCGACACATGGTTTGACCGTCAATTTGAACGTCATGTCACTCTAAAAATTATTTAAAAAATTCAAATTCCAATTATTATTTTTAATTTCTATTATCTATCATTTTCAAATCAACCAAAAAATAAATTTTAAAAAAATTAAAATATGATAATATTTGGTTAATTTCTAAAATTTATCATATTCGAATTAATTTCTATAATTTATTATTTTATTTTTTGGTTAATTTGATAATGATAAATAATAGAAATTAGGAAAATAATTTGAATTTTTTTAATGATTTTTAGTCTGATGACGCAATGACATGGCGTGTTGACCGTTCAAATTGACGGTCAAACCATGTGTCGGGCTAATTAAGTCTGTATGTTGCATAGTTGAGGTCAGGATGTTAATTTCTGAAACCACGGGCAAAGATGATTTTATAGTCATAGTTGAGGCCAAAATAAGGTATTAACCCATATAAGAAAGTTGATGTATTGTAGTTTACATCGTTTGGTTTCTGTGACAGTTATTCTAATATTTAAATAAGATGTATTGCTTTTTGGGTGAAATATCACTTTTACCCTTTATTTTAATATAAAAAAGCTAAACAAATCAAAAGGTAGAAAACACTCCAACAATCTCAAACAAACAATCTCAATAATCTCACAAAAAACTTGAGATATTACTATCACTCATTGTGAGTGATAATTTCCATCACATCAAGCAAACAATGCATGTATAGTTTGTGTAGAAAATTAAAAAAAATAATGCATTGTAAACAATGCATGCTTTGTAACTATCTCAATCAAATAATCACCAAAGAATTTGTTAAGTTTAATGAAACGGTTAATATATTGACTGTAGTGATGGAGAATACTGATGTCAAATTTTGTATGGCTAAAATGTTGATTCATGTAATGTGATGAATATAGCCAATTTTACTCTGAAAATTAAGTCTTTTGTTAAATATTCGTTTAGTTTGCGTAACAAATATAATTACTAATCAAATTAACAAAAAAAATAATAGGATTTGATATTTTTAAATTGACTTACCACATAAGCTCTAAGTCAGCTAAAATTTAAAATCATAGAAACTTTTTTTTTTATAAAAAAATCCTGACTTCTTTCCTTCTCATTATCGTTGCCAATTAAATAAAATCAAACCCTAAACCTCAATTACAGTTCTAGCGCGATAGGGCATGTAAAAATATATATGGAGAAATGCGGCGACGACCGAAGCAGGAGGAGTCGAAGTTAGAATAAAACATCTTAGGTTATGTCAAATTTAATGAAATAATTAGACAAAATTTAAAGATTTTTTATAATGAAAAAAATTGACTATATCTATCATAAGGGTCAAAGTTTTTTACTTTTTTTGCTACATAAGTTTTTTCAAAAAATTTAAATATGATATGCAGACAATTGGCATGATGTGGCGATTTGAAGCTGACATGAAAACTGAAGTGGCGTCCACCACAGCTAGACGTTAACATTTCAAATGACATATATAACATCGTTAACTTTCCTAACATAAATGAGCATATTTGTCCAACAAACATCTCAAATATAACTATATTTGTCTTTATTTAAATCGACTATATTTATCAAAAGCATCATAATTGAGACCATGCATGTGTATATTGCCTTCTGCTTTCAAATTTTTTACTGTAAAGAAACATTTTGGTGTCGCAACTCTCTTCTAGCTGTTCCTATCAATATGCTATTGCGTATAGATTTTCAACGCATACATCAAATAGGCATCAAGCTGAAACCCAGCATATCAATGCAACACAATCCTCTGAATTAGGGGTTTGAAACAAATTGTTTTAAACCAAATATTAGACAAAAGCAAGAATAAGGAGATTCAATCATCAAAGTCCAAGTTTATGCACCTAACCTTATCTACATTTGATTCACTAGAAGTAAAACTTATCCCCACATGATTATCAAATGTCTAAATCCTCACAATACACATTGCTGATAATAAGAAATAAAACCCAACTCTTATACCACATGCATTAGAACAAACATCAGGTGTGCCACTTTATTCAACCCAACCAAGCACTCCAAGTCTTGGTCACATAAACGCTAGTAAACATATCAACCACATTTTCAGAAAAGCTGTCGTTCTACATCTACTATAATACTATTCTTCAATCTTCATCCATCTTGTTCTTATGAATCCTTTTAATATATACTAGGAGGCGATGCCGCGCCTTGTCACGGGCGGAGATGGTCTATTGGCATATATTATGTTGCCAGTTATGGTGTTTTGTTAGTATTATTAGTCGTCTAAACCTTAAAAAAATTAGCAAGTTTGTTAGTAAAATTGACTTCATAATATGATCTTGACTGAGAATAGATATATAGCGGTGAACATCCAATTTTGAAAATTTTGAAAATTTTGGCTAGTAAATGATATATACCTAAACTCAAGTGACTTATTGATTATGGATAGGGTATGAGTGACGTATATGTGGGTTTGGAAGTTTGTAGAAGGGTTTGGGTAGGGTATGGGCATTTACTTCCATAATCTAAATGTGTATGAGTTGGGTATGGATATCCATGGATTCAAGTGAAATCTAAACATTGGACCAATATGTAAATTTAAAAAATTATAGGTACAAAAATCTTATAAAATGTAGATACAAAAATATAATTGTTCAATGAATTTACATTAAAATTAAATTTGAAGTATCAAAATGCAAAATATACATTATAGTGATTAAATTTTTATTTAATTAAATTTGAGATATAAAAAGTAAGTTTTTATGCAACCGTTAACTTACTTCAACTTTATATATATTGATATCCTAAATATAATTAAAGCTACAATGTGATTACTGTAACTTAAGAGCTTTTCTATTTTGCACCACTGTCATTCTTCTTTGAATGACCCGTATCACCATTTCCAGTGGGATTTTAACATAAAACATGATAGTCATAGGGAGTAGGGACTAGGGAGGTTTGGGGATTTTAGAATTATTATGTTTATGAGTATATTATAATCAGGGATCGTTATTATTTCTTCTTCTTGGTTTTGGCTAATTGATGATGAGAGTTGGCCATGTTTTAGAGTTTTATCAAAAGTAATTTAAGCCGTACCGAAAAAGTTAGTATTATAGTATTTTGTGCTAAAATCGTAATTCAATCGTGGTTAAAATTAGACTTGACACGTTGTTCCAACCCGAGCTTCAATTTATGTTGAGAAAAGAATCAAAAATTTGTAAAATCATACCGAAGGTCGTACCAAAAAATTAGTATTAGGTCATTTTGTGCTAAAATCGTACTTCAGTCGTGGTTAAATCATTTCATAAAGCTAAAATCACCTATTGATTTAGATTCCGTTAGTAGTTGTTCTATTGGACTAGCATTACGATACGATCGTAGTTCAACCGTTATTAAATCAGGCTAAAGACATTGCTCCAACCCAAGTCTCGATTTATGTTCAGAAATAAAAACCTAAAATGGTACAACCATACCGAATGCCATACCAAAAAAGTTAGAATTAGGTATTTTGTGCTAAAATCGTAATTCAACCGTGGTTAAATCAGGCTTAACACATTGCTCCAACCCGAGCATCAATTTATGTTCAGAAAACCATAAATTGTAAAACCATTCTTAAGATCATATCGAAAAAGTAAGCATTAGAGTACTTTGTGCTAAAATCGTAGTTTAACCGTGGGTAAAATCAAGCTTGAAATGTTGCTCCAATCCGAGCCTTGATGTACATAGAAAATCCATAAATTGTAAAACACACCGAAGGTCATACCCGTAAAGTTAGCATTATGATATTTTGTGCTAAAATCGTAGTTTAGTCGCAGTTAAATCAGGCTTTACACGTTGCTCCAAACCGAGCATTGATGTGTATTGAGAAAATAACAAAAATTGTAAACCATATCGAAAGTCGTACCAGTATAGGTAGAATGAGGATATTTTGTCCTAAAATTGTAGTTTAGCCGTAGTTAAATCATTACATATAGCTAAAATCACCTATCAAGTTATATTTCGTTAGAAATTTCTATTATATGACTACTAAACACGGTCAAAAATCAAATACGGATTAGCAAACAATACTTCTAATCCTATGAAAAGCCGGCACATAATCTACCTAGTATATGTTATATGAGCATTTTTCTTAGTATAATCTTATTGACTGGGCTCTCACTAATGATCCCACTTTTGTTTTAACAGGAAGATGTCATCAAAACACCAGCTTGTTTGCCCTGCAAGTAAACTTAGTTCACCTATCAAAATTCATGGAAAGAAGACGATTGGCAGTGCCACCAAAAAATTCGCCAAAAGAGTTATACTGACAATCCCCAAGGTACTGTTCTGCTGTGTTTTCCTTCTTTCGTTTGCTCTTCTATTTCTTTTTAATGTATTTCTTTTCATAAGTGGGTCATACGTCACAGTTTGCTACTTAATCAACATTTAAGCCACTTTAATTTGATATTTACATTGTGGATCACTGTGAGTTTAAATTTTGGGGTAAGTAAGGTTGAGCGGGGAAGAGAGTTCACAGTGTGTTCATTTGTCTTGTTTATTTCATTGTAAGATTCATTATATAGGTGAATAAGGTTATTGAAAGTAGGGGTTGCAGTTCGGTTTCTGGTTAGCGGCTAACCGGAAGGTTTATCCGATAACCGCCGGTTACCAGCTAACCGAAAACCTAGGGTTATTTACCTCGATCGGTGGACGGTGGAAGAAAGATGGTTTTCGGCTAGCCGAGTAACCGAGGGTAATTAACCGCGGTTACCCGACTAACCGAAAATAACCGGCCAGCCACCCAAAGGCCAGCCATCCTCCTCCTTCAAAACCCAGCCCTGCCAGTCATCCAAACCCTACCCTCATATTTCTTTCTTCTTCTTCTTCCATCGCCATCTCCCTAATTCTTTCTTCTTCTTCTTCTTCTTCTTCCGCTCCGACGACCCCAGGCCTCCCCGCTTCTCCCATCGCCTTCCTCGCCTTCCTCCGTCAAGCCGCAGACAGAGCAGAGATAGTCAAACGGCGACCCCAGGCCTCCCGGCACTACCTAGATGTCCGCCTCTGCTCCTCTGTGGCCGGCGTTGTGCAGATGTGGTGGGTTTGAAATGGAGGAAGGAAGGAGAGCGAAGGAAGAAGGGGTCTGGTGAGTTTTTTTGGGAGAAAGGAAGAAGGGTTCTGGTGGGATTTTTTGGGAGGAAAGAAGGAGAGAGAAGGAAGAAGTGGTCCACGAGTCTGGTGGGATTTTTGGCTGCGAGGAAGGAAGGAGAGAGAAGGAGAGAAGGATTCAGAGGTGGGGGATTTTTTGTATTTTTTTTTATAATAATTTTTAATGAATTTTGTAGAGAGAAGGGTGTTTTTTTTTTTGCTTATGCGGCTAATCGAACCAAAACCGATAACCGACCGGTCGGTGGTCGACTTGCCGTGGTGTCCTTTACGGTTGGTGGTCGGTAGAAGGCAGTGGTGGCTCGGTTTAACCGATATCGATTTTCGGTTAAACCGAAACCGACCGATTGACACCCCTAATTGAAAGGTTCAATTCTCTGAGGAGAAAAAAAAAAAAAAAACAATACGAAACATTCTACCTTTGCCCTTTATTTCAGACTCGTCAGTTATTAATGAATCAGTAATATTAACTACCAGTTATGCTTCTAGCTTTTTTTTTAAACACTACTTTGGAAAGATATTTGATCCCAATCATGCTTTTTCAATAGAAACCCTTCTAAAAAAAGTATAGTCAAACTCACACAATATTTGAGAGAAACAGTTATATTCCGTAAATGTTTTATAGATGAATATATTCGCACCTTACTCTATATCGTATAAACCAAATGAAAGTACGCTACAATAAATCCGTTTGGTACTGTTCATCGCATAATGCATCTCTATTTAGCACTGTTGTGATTTTTACAAATGCAACTTTTGGAAATAATTTTTGTCAAAACATGTTTTGAAAAAAAAAAAAAGAGTTCCTGGTTACGAATTATTGAAATTACTTTCTAAAACAAGAAGTGATACAAAATAACCACAAACTACAAGTATAAAAATACAATAATAAAATAATTGAAATGGATCTTGTTGGAATTGTCTTTTATAAATGAAGTAAATTTATGTTTTCCGGAAAAAAAAGCGATAAGATAAGAATTACTAACTCGCACGAAACTACACCGCAAATTAATCCCGACTAGAGCCCAGAATTTTAAACTCTAGTCGGGTGCAGTATAGGGCAAGTATTTAAATTGTAAACCCGGGCCGGTCCAGGTACCGTTACTTTAATCGCTTAAGTTGTTATCTAGCAAAATGATTTTGGGTTTAAAACTAATAAACCTACAAATGAAAACAAACAAGTAAAGTAAATCGAGGTTGTCCCAATGAGAGAAGAGTTCACTCGGGTGTTGCTCCCCCTAGCTAAAAATTATGACTTGAAAAATCGAACGACCATGTGTGGTTAGGGGTTCATAAACCGCAGGGAAGTCTAACAAGCAGCCGAAGCACCCACTTAGTCTCTAGGTTTAGGAATGGGATACGATCCAAGCCACTAATGTGACCCTCTCAACCTATCGACTAAGGAATGGTTAGACTTCACCCTCGAATTGGAGTTCGGACGGCCACAGCACAACCAAACCCTAAGTGCTAATGCGAATTAAGATGTTTGCTCTTTAACTAACCTATAATAGGAGGCATAGAATGCCCAAGGAAACCCATCTCTAATAGAGCCTCTTAAGTTAAGGAGGGTTCTCTCTAAACTAGCTTAGGAGGCATTAAATGCCCAAGGAAACCCATCTCGAAATGAGCCTCTTAGGTTAAGGACGGTTCTCTCTAAACTAGTTTAGGAGGCGTTGAATGCCCAAGGAAACTAAGTCTCTTGGGTAAAGGGGGTTTCCTCTCTAAACTAGACTAGGAGGGATGCAATGCCCAAGAACCCCATCTCAATATTGAGTCTCTTAACCTAAAGAGGTTTCCTCTCTAAAGTCTAAACTAGCCTAGGAGGCATGAAATGCCCAAGAACACCCAATGAACCTCCTAACCTAAGGAGGTCTCCTCTCTAAACTAGGTTAGAATGGCAATTAGATTGGTAGGCTTTCACACAACACAATCATTTCTGAATAATACCTCTACATTCACATTAAAACACAACCACAACAAATCATTCCATTCATACAAGCATCCACATAATTGTAGCTAGGGTTTACAATACCCAAGTGAGTAGGTAGGCTAATCCATAGCTAGGCAAAAGAAAACAACAAAAAGGAGAGAAAGAACCATGGAGAGGTGGAAATCTTCCTCCCTTGTTGCTTGAATCTCCCTTGAGAAGAAGAAATCTTCAATCCCCTAGCTTGAATTGAGCCCAATCTCCTTCTTCCTCCTTTGAGTGTCCCTTTCTCTCTCTAGAATGGGAAGAGGAAACCCTAATCTCTCACTAGAAACCCTCTTTATTCTGAAAACTAAAACCCTAGAAAAAACTCTCATTTCTCTCTCCCAGCAACCTTCTATTTATAGAGCTCAATAGTCACTCCTCACGGTCAGATATCAAGGTCGTGACATTGGGGCTCTAACCTCGACATTGGACCAAATCACATGTCAGTGGTGTCGTTTTGGTCCATCTTCTCGGTCAACGGCTGGTTTTCACGATCAACAAACCGTGAACCATTGGGCGTCAGTAACCTCAGAACAGGCTCCGGAAGCACACAATGTCACTTCCAAAGGGAAATTGCCACGGTCATAAGACTGTGACATTGGATCTTTACCCGTGACAATTAATTCTCAAGCCTAGTGATCAATTGTCAAGGTCTGTTGACCGTGACATTTGACCCTTGCCCTTGACATTGGACTGTTCTTCACTTTACTTCACTTTTTGGCGCTTTATCAACTCCAATCGTCCCGAAACTCGTCCTCGACCTTCTCACACGTACTAGGATCCAAAATATGACAAAACAAGCACAACCTAGCGTGAAATATATCGAGGGACGACGAAATGAAAAGTCAAACTATCAAGAAATGAGGAATAAAATGTGTACAATTAGGTATGGATCAATTACTCTTTTTAAACAAAGAAAAATTCATAATCAAAGATTTTTGCATGTATGTTATAATTTATAAAAGTGTTTCTAGCTTTTTAAAGATTATTTTAATTTGAAAAGATATTTCATCTTTTAAAATAGAAAACCTTCTAAATCTATAGTCAGGAAAAAAGTTTTATTCCTTAGGTATATTATAAATAGAATATATTCGCACCTTACACCATATTGGATAAACCAAATGGAAACACTATGTAAAGAAGAACATAAATTATTGAAATGGACTAGTAAGTTTAGTCCCTAAACTTGGACATTTTTATCAACCGAGTCCTTAAATTTTGCTCCTCTCTAAACAAGTCCCTGAACCGTGTAACTTGTCTAAAATCGACCAAGAATTTGGCAATTGATTTGAACTTGCTTAGTTTGTTTAGCAACTTCATCACAGATTTTGTTTTTCAAATTACTCCAGTTAAATAATGTCACAGTTTCATTAGTCACCAAAGCTCTAAGCAATCCGGGTACAATTGATTTTTTGGACATTTCATGGCCGAAGTTGTCGTCAAGCTAAAGTTGAGTCTGCACCTATTAGTCAAATCGGTAAAACAAAATTCGACAATAAAGGACCCAATTTGGAAAAACTCACAATGTCCGAGGGTCCGTTGAGAAAAAAAAAATTAAAGTTCAAGAACTGGTTTGAGAAAGTTATCAAAATCCAGGGGCAAAATCAGAATTTAAAATTTTGGGAAAATATTATTGTAATTAGATGGCGTGAGAATGGAGCGGTTTTCTTCAATTCGTGTTGGGTTTTATTTTCTCTAGAAACTGTTCTTCTGTTTAGTGTCCGCCACTCCACTTCCTAGTTTCAAACCCACTTCCCTAATACTCTCTCCAAAACAAAACAGAACAAAAAAAACCAACTCCTCAATTCCCTTTCTTCCCCACCACCTCTTCCCTTCCCTTAATAAGCTCCAAGGCCCAACTCGCTAATCCGCAAACTAAACTGCCATTGCCATGGATGATGGCAAAGCAAAGCAAGAAGCCAATCAACAATGGACACCAGCTTTCATTCCCTTGCCAATTGTTTTCTGTTTAGTTTCTGCTGATTAACACAACAACTCCTGCTGCTGCTGTGCTGGCTTCTTATTCCCCCGTACTATTATTAGTCTTTGCATAAGCTGGTGAAAGAAGCAGTCGGGAAGCACAGTGACAAATTGGAAGACATGTTCGATTGCCTTCTCGGCTGGCGTAGAGCTTCCAAATGGTAACACTCGAATCTTCTTCATTCCTCTGTTTTCTTCTTCCTTCTGTTTTGCTGTTTGTTGTGTTTCCGGTACAATTATTCGATTTCGGTTGGTTGGTGCAGCAAGAGAACAGTAAGGCAGCTTCAGGTTCGGATGCGAGGGCTGAAGAACAAAAGGCAAGCCATGATCAGGCAGTTGAAGGAGGACGTTGCTCAGCTCATCAAGCTTGGCTGCCATGATATTGCTTTCAACCGGGTACGTACAAATACAATACTTTGCTCCCCTGAAGCTGCTTCCCCTGTTCTTCACCATTGGGTCGGTCAACTTTGGTTGGTTGGTGGAGTTCGTTTGCCTACCTCTCTCTCGACTATGAATAAAATGCTTAGTATAAAGGAAATAAGAACCCTGAAATCGTGTTCATCTATGATGTGTTCAGATATTTGTTCTTGAGTACAGGTCACTGTAATTGTGACCAATGTAGCAGGGGGTCAAAATTTTGGCTTTTTGGGTTACCAAATTTTTTCTCAACTGTTCTTTTACTGCCCAGGTGGAGCAGCTGGTGAAAGATGAGGACATGATCAAAGTTTTTGAATTGCTAGACAATTACTGCGACGTTATCATCATTAACCTCTCTTACATCCGAAAGCGCAAGTATGCTTCTTTCTCCATTATAAACCCGTAGTTTACATCGAGTCATTATGTCCTTTTCCTCTTCTTGAGACTCTGTTTTCCCATGCTGCTGCTGCTGCTGAAACTGGTTTACTTTATTTATGCCCATTTCCTTCTTTCAGAGATCTTCCGAATGACATCAACGAGGCAGTTTCAAGCCTGGTATTTGCATCTGCAAGGTGCGGCGACCTCCCCGAGCTACTAGTCATCCGCGAGCTCGCTGAGGATCGTTATGGCCCGCGATTTGAGAGGACTGCTCTTGATCTCTTGCCTGGAAACCTTGTCAACCATCAGGTTTTTCCCCTCTAGTTAGATATCTTGTTTATTTTGCAAATTCATGTCAGGTTTACTGATACTGTTGAAATTCTTCAGGTGAGGAAGAAGCTCACAGTTCGATCCGTTTCTGACGACGAGAAGCTGAGATTGGTTGATGAAATCGCAAGAGAAAACCGCCTTTTACCAGAGATTGTGGTTCTAGATTACCCTCCAAAACTCGCACAGAAACAGGACAAGTTACCACCACCAATTGAAGTCCTCCAAGTTGTAGAGCATGGTGATGATGAACAGCAACAACAGCCTCCTCCTTCGTCTTCTTCTTCTTCCAGAGGAAAGATCAATAAACCTGATCACCATCAGCAGGACTACTGCTGCGATTTATCATCATCATCAAGCAACTGCTTCAGCTCAATCCTCCAGCCAACAACTTCAGGCTGCAGCCAGAATTCCTTCTCAACGATCACCACTTCTTTCAGCTCATCCGCCATGACTCAATCTTCACAGGACGAATTGGAGTACCTCATGAACCGAATCGGCACCAACGAAACCCTGATGCCTTACATGGCCAATGAAACCGAAACCTACATTCCAGAACTACCAAAACAAGAAATCAAATCCCAGAAGCAGCGAAAGGCCGCGTCCTCCACAGAGAGCCTGCCTCAGTTTCCTGAAGAAGAGATGCTCGTGTACCTAGACGACGTGGAAGAAGTTCAGTCCTCCATTAGCGGGAAAGAAGGAAGCTTTCAGGACCAGAGGGTCTTCAAGTTCAGAACCCATAAAGTCGACGAGATCAGTGACTACAGGGAGGATGATACGGATGAGTACGGATCTTCAGGGGACGGATCGAGGAGCTCGATTCGGTCAAGAAAGATGGTTAAGAACACTGTCAGGAAAAGATCGAGGAAGAGATCGGTTTCCAAGGAAAACCCAGAATTAGTAATTGAAGGAGACATTATGTACTATGAAAACCCTCCATGGAAAAGGCCTCCATTGATCCCTCCCAGTCCCAATCAGAAACAGAAATATGAGCTTCACCGAAATCAGGAAGCTCGTAAACCCTGTCGCGATCCTTCGAATGTGGAGGAATCGGAGACAGAGAAGGAATGGAGAGCGTTCCAGGAGAAATTCAGGAGGAAGAGCTGTGAGTTGGGCGGTGGAGGAATGAAGCCGCCATATTCAAGAGCAATGTCCATGCCGCAGGAAAGGAGCAGTTCGAAATGTCAGTCGGAGAACATCGACAGAACGATGTCGTTTCCAAATCAGTCGCCGAACCACGTTCACCCCAAGTTGCCGGACTACGATGATTTGGCGGCGAAATTCAGGGCTTTGAAGAAAGAGCATAGGGGGCATGGGCGCTACTGAAGTTATGAGCGTCCATTTGTTTAAATTTTTGCTTATGTGTAGTGATGAAGTTAAAAAGGATCTTACAGTGAACGGTTGATTATATGCGTATATGATATGACTGCTGCAACAGGGTGAATTTGCCAGAGATGGAACAGTGGAAAATTAGGAAAGTTTAATTTTGTCTTGGGAAGTTTCAGGTTGTCTAGTTTTATGTAGGGATTGGGGTATGTGCTTTTTGCTTGGACATGTAGAGAACAATTTTGAACGGTGATGTTTTACAGGGGAAAGATAGGATAATAAATTTTTGAACTAGGTTATCATGTGTTATTACTAATGTTCTCGTACTAGATTGAGGTATGAGTGTCTGTACTGGTTCACAATTAACTATTTAACTGCAATTGAGCCATTATCAAAACTAGATTGCGGGCCCGCGCTCGGCTTAGGATAGGGTCTGTTATAAACGCGCTGCTACGGATCGGGAAATCGCCGGAATCGATAAAGCAAGAATACGAAAGCGAGAATCGAAAAACACAGACACACGATTTACGTGGTTCACTAACACGATGTGTGTTAGCTAGTCCACGGGCGAAAGAGAGTCAGTTTCACTATATCGAGGAGATTATAGATTACAGAGGAGTATGAGAAGTATTTTTAGTACTTCTCCATGTGGGTCTAAACCTAATCCAATCTGGCAAAGGAAACAGTTACAGACCATGCCCAAAACCCGAACCCAAATAACAGCGAGAGCCCCGACTACCAGTCGTAGCGGCTGATAGTCAGATTCAAGTCACATCAACAAATCTCCACCTTGACTTGAATCGTCTTCCTCTGAAATCTCTGATGTACTCTGCTCCTTCTCTCTCTCTCTCTCTATCTCTCTCTCTCTCTCTCTCTCTCTCTCTCCATCAATGCCCCGTAGGGCGGAGTCACCCACTCAAGACATTCAGCAAGTCCAAGCAGTGTTGGAACTTGCCATGTGGAACCGGCTTCGTGAACATATCAGCAGGATTATCCGCGGTGCCAACCTTCTTCACCTCAATCATCTTCTTTGTCCTCAAGAAATGATACGTCACGTCGATGTGCTTAGTCCTCTAATGGTGGACTTTACCCTTTGCCAAGCATATTGCACTCAAACTGTCACAATACACCACTGACCTATGAGTAACTAAATATGGACCTTTAGATCTAAGTGGATCTAGAAAATTCAGATATAAGGGTTGTCAATTAAAAACATTTTATTTTCCCTAGTTTTCTTAATTGGCTCTTATCTTCTTCGTTCTAACTCGGATTTCAAATTTTTTTTTTTTTTTTTTTGCATTGATGGAACGAGTTCATTGTGCTCTACAAAATGAGATCAATTTTCAATATATTTCGAGAAACATTTTTTTTACCAACTACATACTCTATAGTAACTTCTTCGTGTTTAAGTCGTTTTTGAAAACGTTTGCTCAGAAGGAACGAGTCCATCATGATCTATTGGATCTATAAATTTATGGGTGAAAAAATTTCTGGATAAAAAATTACCATATTTTACCACTATGGTATGTGGGTGGTAACTTGTGGTAACTTGTAGTAAACAATGATGAAAGTCGTAAATGACAATTAGTATACTCCTATTATCATGTATTCAACCTTCTTACCATATTGGTATGTTCATACCATCATGGTATGCTTTCTTACCATATGGTATTAAATAGAAGCATACCATATGGTAATGACTGGTAAAAAATATTCATTTTTTTTTGTAGTAAAAATATATCAAAATGGATATAATTTTAAAGAGCACATTTAATCTGATTTATCTGTGCAAAAAATTAAATTTCGACTTAAAACGAGAAAAAAATCTTCCATTAAAGATTAAATGGGAATAGATAAAAGACTTTCCACGAGAGAGAGGATACTGATGTCATGCTGATGTGGACAGGTTACTCATGGTTACTGACCATAGGGTTACTGACCTGATCCATTCCCAACCCGCGATCTGCCGCGATAAAAAAAACTAATGAATTTGTTTAAATCAAATAATTGACAAAAATATTCAAATAGGATACATATAAAAAATTCACGTAATGTCTTGTTCATTATAAATAACATATATCATCCGTTTTCTTAAGTGGTATATAGTAAATAATTATTTCTACATAAGGATCAGAAAGTAACATGAAAGTAACATATGATTAAACTGTTATGTCAAATTTAACTAATAAAGAGCTTATTGTAATATGATGTATAAGATAAAGAACTACTATTGAACATTGATATATAAATCTTTTATAATGCATGGTCTAATAGTAAAATCAAAATTTAGAAAGTAACTTTGATTAAACATGTGTCATGTCAAAGATAACTAATCTTGCATAATGCAAATTGATGACATGTTAAATATTTAGTTAACAACAATGGAATTTTTGTTTTGGTAAATAACAATAATGGAATTTTGGTTAATTATAAAAAATAATTAAACACAATTTATATTATTTAGTAATAAACATTAAACATAAAGGAGTTTAAGTTAATAATTATATATTCAATAACTGATCTATGAAAAGTTTATATAATGTTAAGTTGGATGTAGAGAAATAGACTTATCGTAGAATTTCCTATGAGTTTTAGACTTATCGTAGAATTGCTGAAAAAGAGAGAAAAAGGGTTATGGTAAAATTGAGTACATGGGATAAAACCCAACAGTACCCATGAAGAAATAATATGAGAAAAATATTCTATTTTTTCTTAATGTAGTCTAATAATAAAATCAAATTTTACTAATTCACATTATTTTCCCTCATGTTGTGCATTAATAAGCCACTATAACCAATAAATTATCATCCTTTCATGTGAATAAGATGAACACGGAGGTTGTATCATGTGTCAATACATATATTTGTGAAATCGTATTTTATTATCATGATTAAACATCTAATTGAACATAAATATCTATTACTTATTTTTTCGACTCAGTCTCTCATACGATATCACAATTCTTAATCCACTCTCAATTCATAACTTTCTTTTCCCCAATTGTCAATAAGTAATTAGTTATTTCGTTTGTGAACACAAATTATCGATTACCATTAGTTAGCTATCTCTTTTTGTAAACCCAAAAAATTCTCACTTTAACAGTTAATTTGACCTTTTAAAAGCTTTTTTAAAAGCAAACTTGTGTCACCTGATACCAAGTTCGGAAGTAATAGCCCAACAAGGCAACAACTATGTATTTTTGTTATTACACGTGTAGCATTCAAAGCATGCAGCAAATGCACCTCAACCGCTTGTCTTCCCTTGTCCTTTTACCGGGTAAAATATCTCGGGTACCACTTAAGTTAGAGAATTGGGGCAGACATACCACTTAACTTTGAATAGGGCGTCGGGTAAATTATAGTCACCAAAATGTGCATCCGCCTAGTTTTCCATCCAACCCAAAATTTTAATTACTTTTTGGTACCCAAAACTTTTAAAAACATCCAAAACTATATTTCAACAAATTTTTATCTAATATGGAAATTAAAAACCTTCTAAACATAATATTACTAAAATGACTAATCAAAATTTTCAATAAAATAGATGAGTTAGTAAAAATAATAAAAAAAAATATCAAGAAGAAGAATAAATATATAGAATATAATATTTAAAATTAATATTAGAAGATCTATTTAAATCACTAATCCTATAAGGAGTACCATTAAAAATAGTTAAAATAGAATTTAATTGATCATCAATACATCAAGACCAAAGAAGGATAAATGGAACATAGTTAGAAAGAATTAAATATATTACAGTAATTGAAGAAAATTTAGAACGAAAATAGAACGAAAGTAACCAAGAAAATTATACAACATCTAGATGATGTACGAGAATTAAATATAACATCCTCATATTATTTATATCGATATAGAATTCATAGGATATATTTGATTAAGCAAATTATTCGATTAGTATAACACATAATGGTAATTTAAAGTACTTATAATGATAATTGATTCTACAGTTCCTATTCAAAAATTGGTTTGGTATCAAAATCTTAAAAAAAAATTCAATTATTAGAAAACATAATGATAATTGAAAATAATTATAATAATAATTGATTTTAAATTTTTTATTCAAAAATTAATTTGGTATCAAGTTTTCAAAAGAGGATACCAATTGAATAATAAAAATGATGTTTTTCATAAGTCAAAATGATTTTTTACAATAAGAAAAGTAGAAGGACCAATTAAGAAATTTAGAAAACGGCATATTCCAAGAATATTCTGTTAACTTTAACGGAATGCACTTAACATTAAACTTAAGTGGTACCGGGTGCACAAATAATAGAGTTCAGTGGTACCCGACACCCTATTCAAACGTAAGTGATATGTTTGTCCCAATTCTGAAACTTAAGTGGTATCCGAGGTATTTTACCCTATTTTACTTGTACCCCAATATTTGTATGTCCTCTCTCATAGTCATCCCAAAATCCCCCATTCAATCCAAAGCATATTAAAAATTGATATCCGCAACTCTCAGTTTTACTTCTTCTTTACATGTGTGACTTCAGAGCGTCATAGGAAGATTTCCAGCGTAATTGCAGTGCTGAAGGGACAGAGCTGGGTTCTACATTTTTCAATCCGTCTTTGAAAGCATTTGAATGGGAGAATCGTCAATCTGGTGCTCGAAGACCCGAAACATAGTCGATCAAGATCTGCATGCTAATTTCACTCATATTCAAGTTCAACTGAGTTCTGGTACGGAGCTGGGATTCTTCATGAGACTTTAATTGCAGAGCTGAAGGGATAAAAGAGTTGGGTTCTACATTTTTCAAATCTGTCTTTGAAAGCATTTGAATGAGAGAATCGTCAATATGTTGTTTGAAGACTCGAAACGGAGCCAGCCGAGATCTCCATGCTAATTTGCATCACTTCTTTTCAACTGAGTTCTGGTAGGCTTTAATCATCTACCATTCAGTTTTTCGAGTTTCAGTTTTTTATCTTCATAAAGCGCTCCGACAATCGCACTCTCCCTCTAGTTTTTCTGTTCGAATTTTTCAATTTTCCTTCTCTATCCTTCGAAATCTCATCTCCCTCAGGTTGTTGCTTAAAACTGTAGATCTAATCGACCTTGCGTCTAACTCGTCCTAAAATTTTGGTTCCCTTTCATTTTTTTGATTGAGATTGGGTGGAAGACAAATGGGAAGGAAGGGGTTTTTTCACCATGGGAAAGCAGAGTGAATGGGGAAAAGGTAGGAAGAAGAGAGGAGGGGATGCACGGGAAAAGATGGTGGTCTGGTCAGGCGTGGTCGTTTCTCTATAAGCCCATACATGTGATGAAATTAAAAAGCTATCGACGGCTACGCTTGCTCCGCCCAATATATTGTACTCAAGCTTACATATAAACGACCGCAGGTGCCGGCAACCCCTCTGAGTGAACAGCAATTCCCGACTTTTTCGTAAGGAACAGTAAACGCACTTATTTGGTAATTTTTTAGAACTTACGGTCAATGTAGTCAAAATCGAGATTTTAAGTAAAATCGAAAACTGAAGTATAATCGGAATCGTAGATTAAAATCGTAAAATCGTAAGATTTTAAGGTTCATATTAAAATACACACTTAAAACACCAAATTGTAATAAAAATGCATATCTTGAATAACAATCAATCACATAAAACATAATTACTTCCCAAGCTAAGTTTGTTTTCTAAATAGACACAATTAGATGTATATATTTATTCTTGTACATAATATAAACACACAAATAAGCAACCTAAAACCTAATAGAAATCACTTAATTAATAGTAAAGAGTAGAAAATCACATAAGATCATTAGGATCAACATTAACATCACTTACACATCATCGTTATCATCCTCACCTTCACCATCACTCTCATCCTTGTCTATTTGCTTGAGGACTACATTACTCTTAGGATTACTTGAAGTACTTTCACCATTAACCATATTTCCCTTATCACCATCATCTGGCAATGATAACTCTTTGATTGATGCATTCCCTTCTTAATTGTTAAAAGGTCGGGGTTATTGGTACTGAAAGATTGGGAGATGAACGAAAGCTTGCAATGGAATGGAAATTTGGATTATTGTGAGGGTAATGGGAACAAACTACAAGCTAATTGGTAGGGTGGAAGATATCGTTGATGGAAGGAGTTGGGTGTCGACGTGTGAAAAAAGAAGATTCAAGGAAATAAATGAAAATAAATTGAGGGTTGTATATTGGGTTAGGGTTGTGGTGTTGATTATGTTGGGTCGGGGGAAGTAAACTTGACTCGGTGCATAGGAAGAACCCGACTTGACCAGCCTAATTTTGATCCAATTGATATGAACCTTGAAATCGTACAAAATCATAGAAATCGTAGATTTTAAGGATTTTAGAGTTTTAAATCGGGATTTTATGGGATTTTAAGGTTCAAAGATTTTACCATAAAATCAGGATCGGAACTCATAGGTAAGATCGTAAAATCGTAAGTTTTTAAGATTAAAATCGGGATTTTGACTACATTGCTTACGGTTTAATTATTCTAACTAATATTAAGGAACCAAATATTAAGATTATTCATCTACAATCCATCCGGACCATACTAGAAGTTGGCTACTATTTTAACGGTTGGATTGACGGGTTGGTATGATTTTAATAATTTCTATTATTAGTATCACAAATGCTCGTGATGTACGGCGAGTCGTGAATTTAGTAACTTGGGTACATAAATAGATAGTTAGAGTTTTGAGAAGCGACATTATCTATTTATTTGATAATAGTTTTAAACACCATCTCACAATACAAATATGTTTTCAAAAGACATAAAAAGTAAGTTATGCAAGGAATTTAATAATGTTTTCTATTTTATGAGCGGTTCGGATGGAAAGAGGGCCGAGTTTTAACAAAATCTACACCTTACCCAATCCACCAATTACCAAAGCGGGTAACTGGCTCGCAGTCCAAAACTCGTCAACACCATATTCAACCCACTGTTGACCGGGTCAATTATTTAATTTTTTGGGTGCGGGTCAGAAGGAAAGCGGGCTGCAGTTTTAACAAATTCGCCCTCAACCCAAACCTCTAATTACAAAAGTGGATAAAACTCACTCCCGACCCAAAACTTGTCAACAGGATAAAACTTGATCTCGACTCAAAACTCGTCAACACCAGGTTCAATCGACTTTGACAGGGTCAATTGTTTTGTTTTTTTGGGAGTGGGTCGGTGGTTTGTGTTTGTTTTATTTTCTTTTTGTGCTTTTGTGTTTGTAGGAGTGTACCCTAGTGCATCATGAGGTAATCAAGATGGTGGAAGCCAAGGAATCGGGTTTTATGATCAACCTCCCATCCAAGATGTACAACCATACCCATGGGGATTTTAAGAAGCTTCCCCATACCAAGAAAACTTTCCTCCACAAACCGATGAGAAATCCAATATGGAGTTGGCAATGAAGGCTTTCATGGGGCATTCCTCAAGATCACGTGTCACTTTACAACCGGAGCCAAAGAGCCAATTGGAGCTCATGGTGGAGCGGTTTGCTCTAGGGATGGCAATGGGTCCAGAACAGGTCGGGTAGTGCAATACCCGGACCTGCCCTGCCAATTTGTTTTTCGCCCCGCTCCGCCCCACGACCTGTAACGGATCTTGATATTCTAACCCGTGCCCTGCCCTGTACGGGGCGGGTCAAACCCGCCCTGTCCCATTCTTCCATACAATGAAACATATATGTGATGGAACCATTTACAGTTCACCATTCACCACCATTTTCAAGCACGTGCAAAAATCTAGAACCACTACTGAAACTTCAAACTTAACATGTAAAAGAGTACTTGAAAATTCGGAACAACTAATTGTTCAAGACTAAAACAAAAAGAAAAAACAGAAAACCAGCTTGATGCATCAGCTTCCAAGTTAAATGCTCAGATCTCCCAAAAACTTAAACTAGATAGAGTTTATCAGCCTACTGCAAACTGCATCTTCATTCACCATAAATCCATATCAAATTATAACAAATAGAATTAAGCACTTCATATTCAAGCTGCTGCAATCTGCAAACTCGAGAATTTAACTTCAAAGTTCAAATTTCACTTCTGCAGGCTGCATCACTATTGTTGCAAGCTGCCGCGATCTGCAAAATCCATAATATAAGTTCCTTAAGACCTTCAACTTCAGACTGCAGACTTCAAACTCCAACACCACTTGCTCAAGCTGCTGCAGTCTGCAAGTTTCATTAAAAGCAACATCAACCAGTCAGTTTTGGACTATACTAAGTAAGCATATCAAGCTATATTGGTCTCTTTGTTCTAGACATGTATATGATAATAAGTAATCAATTAATAATATGGTTTTAAACCAACACAGATAGAACAAAAACACAACAGGAAAGCTTAACTAAATAGTAAATACATGCATGTGAGAGAATAAAAACACAGCAGAAAAGCTGTAATAAACTAACTGAATGCATTTAATTTTACTTCTAATAAAGAGAAGCAAAAACACAGGAAAGCACAACACTACATGTACTAACATGTAACACATAACAGCTAAACTAAACAAATACAGTAGCATCACAATATAAAAATTTAGAAACATACCAGTATAGCAAGATAATGAACAGACCAGTATAACTTACCTCAAGTTCCTCAGATGTGTCTTCTAGCTCATCCTCTGAATCATCCAAAACTGTTGAAAGTGAGTGCCTTTTTGATGGATCCCCTGTATCATAATGAAAATAGTTAAATATATGTTGAAAAGACTATTGCTATGATACTAATAATGATTAATAAAACTACAAGTTACCTTTTGAACTTGCCAATAACCAATTTTGTGCACACATTAGGGCTTCTAGGGTCTCTGGGGCAAGCCTACTGCGATGAGGGCCAATGACCCTCCCACTTGTGCTAAAAGCTGACTCTGAAGCTACAGTAGAAGCTGGAATAGAGAGAAAATCTCTAGCAACCTTGTGCAAGACAGGATATTTTCCCTTATTTGATTTCCACCAACTCAACACATCTAAATCAGATGCATCTCTTATAATTCCATCATCCAAATAAGCATCGAGTTCCGATCTCTCAGGCTGTTTACTTTTCTTTTGGGCAGCATAAGCATCAAATCTAAAACAAAATGACACTTGACTGCCCTTTGAGTGGCCAACTTAATCTCACAAATAATAGGAAAGAACAAGTTTGCAGTAGGATACTTCGTGCCAGAGAAAACTTGAGTGGCCTTATGGAATATATCAAGCTTATCACAGATTTCCTTAGTCAACTTCCACTCAGATTCAGTTGGCAAGCATTTATATTTTGGTTCAAGATTCTTCATCCTAGCAAAAACCTCTTTATATTTGAGAGCAGTAGCTAGCATCATGTAAGTTGAATTCCAACGTGTATCGCAATCAAGGATTAGCTTCTTAGAAAACTTAGTACGTAATTGACGAGCAGCAATCACAAACCTCTCCCATCTTTTTGGTGTCCCCAACCAGAATTGGACACTACTTCGAATCTTCTCAATTGCCGGCTCAATAACCTTCAACCCATTTTTCACAATCAAATTCAGTATATGTGCTGAACATCGCATATGAATCATCATACCTCCAAGTTGAAGAGACTCAAATGGAAGTTTCTCCAACAATTGCGACATCATTGCATCATTGGTTGAGCAATTATCCACTGTGATAGCAGATAACCTGCTGTCAACATTCCATTGCGTCATACAATCCCACAATGCTTCGGCAAGAACATCACTGGTATGTGGTGCTGGCAAATATATGAACCTGCATAGGTTAGAGATAAGTAGAAAAATTAGAAACAGGTTGTACAACAGTAGCTTAATAAGCAGATTTGGCAAAACATGCAGAATTGGAAGAATAGTGCAGCAAGCAACTACTAACTAATAATCTACAAATAAGAACAGAATCAAAGAAAGCAACAATCATAGTATATTACCTAAGGATTCGACTTTGTAGCTTCCAATTATTGTCGACATAATGAGCTGTGACGACCATGAATCCTTTCTTTTGCGAAGTTGATGTCCACATATCAGTCGTTAAGGCCACACGACCTTCATTTTTGTCCAGAAGTTGCATCATTGCGTCTCTTTCAAGGTCATAGATTGTGAGACAGTCCTTCTTGATGGTGTTTCTACATACCATCTTGAACAACGGGTTCAAGCTTGCAACAAAACTCCTAAAACCTTCATGATCAACAATAGAAAGAGAGTACTCGTGCTTTATAATCGCCTTTGCAAGCTCTTTCCGAGAATTTTGTTTATCAAAGTTGAATGGGGAAAGCTGAAATTTCTCCTTGTTGGAATTGGCTTGTAAGAGCTGCTGCCTTATATCCACAGGAACCTTGCGTTTGGGGCATCTTTCATAATGCTTCTTCAGATGGCTTGTTCCCTGCTTCGGATCTCCAACCATTAAGCGCTTGCAGTATTTGCATTTTGCCTTCTTAACCTTGTTAACTTCCAGTTTTTCATAATGAGCCCACCATTCAGAATAGACTTTCCCTTCATTCCCGCCTTTGGCATTGTTAGCCACCTCATTGCCATCATTGTCGTTGGCTCCATTTCCAAACTGATTCTGCACCTCTACTGCAACAGGCATTTGTGATGGGCCTGCTTGTGTGCCATTGGGGTCAGAGCTAGGCTGAATTACAGAAGGATCATATGACTTTTGATTCAAATCTCCAGCTTCTTGATCCATTTATATCACAATCTACATAAGTAACATATAACATCAAAACTTTATGAGGATAAACGTAAAGAGAAGTATCCATTAAAAATAATAAAACAAGGTAAGTTAAGCACTCAAGACTTCCTTGAAACCAAACGTTTTATTGAATCTTAGTAAACCCTAAAGTTCTTCCCCATACCCCATTAGCAAAAGTAAAAGAAAAGATCTGAAAGTGGGAGAAGCTTCAGGAAGTGAGGGTATTAGTGAGATCATTGAAAGGGTATTATAATTGGCTCCCTACATCCATATGGGATGCGCATGTGCTGCTCTTCAGAAATCCAAAATGAAAGGGCAAATTCAATCAACATCCAAATTATCAAAAGGAATCGATTTCCTACCTGTTGAATCTCTCGGTGTGGGTCTTTGGAGAAGGAGAAGTGCACAAGGAGAATATTTATCAGTCATCCTTGATTTATTCTCTGGGGGCTGTGCTGTTAACATTTCAATTGGATCAGAAGACGAGGCGTTGGCTAGAGCTCGACCAATAGAGTTTGAGAGGGATTAATATGAATAGGGATTTGGGAATTGGGAACTTGTTGAGAAATCGAAGCGTCAAAGGTTTCAAGCGTGGGTGCTGGGTGGGAGAGAAGGGAGAGTTGTGCGTGTATAGAGATTAGAGAGGTAGTCCTATCGTCGATTTGCCGGGGTGGGTAATTGATAGAGTAGATGCGGGGCGGGGCGGGGACAGGTCGGGGTGGGGTGGGGTTGGTACCCGGATCTGGCCTGGATTGTGACGGGTCGGGCCAAGACCCGCCCCGTTCGTTCACAGGTCGGGTTTGACCTGCCCCAAAACAGGGTGGGTCGGGCCAAACCCGTCGGGGCGGGCCGGTTTTGCCATCCCTAGTTTGCTCGAGGCATAAATGAAAGATGCTCAAACTTGGATCTCCGACAACCCGAAGTGAAATCCAAAAATTGGAGCCTACCATGGAGAATTTTGAAAGAACATGCTCCATCACGGATTTCCAACTTCTCCCTCCACCCGGTTTAACACTAGAAAAGAAGGTGGCACGAGCTTGTGAAAGCCATCGCCTCTCATCATTGGAGGAGAAAGAGGAGGTTGAAAGGGCGATCAATGACAACCACATGGAGCAAGAGGAACTCACCTAGGAGAGCTCCCCTGGTGAGAATGACTAAGAGGGTTGCATTGATGATTTTCACACATTTCCCTTTCCCGAGAATAACTTTAAAGACCAGGACACAAGGGTAAAGGAGCAAGAGAACTCTTTCTATGATCCTGCGTGATATCTTGCCCTCCAAACCGTTCTCGAAGACATGAATGGGAAGGTGAAAGAAAAGGTTGAAGAGGAGGAAGTGAGAATTAAAGAAGAGGAAGATCTTGGTTGTTCTCAAGGGGAGGAACACATTGAGGAAGAAGGAAAGGAGGTTGAAGTTGAAGAAGCAAATGGTGTCCAAGATTAAGACGAGGTCGAGGTGGATGAAGCATCCACGAGTTACAAGTGCTACCAAAGCTTTCTACCCGACCTTGATGCACTTTTGGAGAATCCCCCGCTTGTGGCTCTTTGCCAAGCCAAGACCAAACCATCAACGATCTCTCTTGGTGGATGCGATGGTGGTCAATCGATGATTTTCTATATGGTATGTGGCAAAGATAAGAAGAGGAAATAAGAAGAGGTCTCGTGGATGGGGCATCGATTCACACCAAGTTCACGAGCTATTTACATCATTTGAAGTATCCAATACTCGTGACTTGAGACACTACCTCACCAACGAGAACCTCAACTTCAAGGAGGTTTTGGGATGGACTGAAACTTGAAGAGCCAATGTCAGGCTCACAACGTTAAGGAAGCGTTTGTTGGGAGAGAGCTCAACCACCATTGCTTTGTTTTCTTTTCTCTTCAATAAGACAACTTTTGGTGAGTTTTTGGTGTTTGGACGTTGCCTTGCTCTTCCAGATCTTACACATGTGCCGATTGACATTGTTTTGACATGAATTACCTTCTTAGAATGACTATTATGAAGAGGCTCCTTCTTTATCATGAATCCAAAAAAAATGAGTACATCGATGATACAACTTGTAATTAAAAATAACTATTTAAATATATTTTTAACAAAAAAATCCATTTCCCATTGTCAAACGTATTAGAATTTGATTCCATTCACTCAATTCTTTTGGAACAAAGGAAGCCCACATACATTATAATCCTAAATTTCAATTCCCAAATCAAGTCTCCGATCTATTTATTTTACTTCCTCCTTTTTTTTCTTTTTTTAAAACAACTAACACAAGTCTCCAACGAATTTGAACAAATCAAGAGTCAGATCTATTTTCCAAATCAGTCACTCAGATCTATTTTCCAAATCAGTCGAGTGACTAATTTATAAATAATTGTTTCTTTGTTAACATAAAAAAAAAGTTTGATTTACAACCTAACAACAAATATATTTTACAAATCTTTCAGAATATGAAAAGTTGTCGAAACTCGCTATGAAAAATAAAATATTAAATTTTATATTTATTTATTTTATATTTATGGATTGACGGACATGTCAAAAAATATTGAGCGTGTCAGTGTTTGTAACGTAATAAATATGTCTCAATCATTTGTAGATCATCCAAAACAGAAATATTGAACGAATGAAGATGACAATCAAATCCTTGATCACAAGTATCTTAACCGCTCCGACCCGCCACTTGTCATCCTTAAATGAAAGCACAAATAGAATCACTCAGCTGTACCATATCAAGAAGCACGCTTTGCCCTTGTGGCAGAAAATATCAAGCCACCCAAACGACAAAAGGAACTTTGATTCGAGTTGGTCACTCATATGAGATATGACTAGCTAACAGCTAGAAGCACTTTCATGGGACACACGGCAGCCGTTCCACCATTGGAGCATCTGTACTGAATATCTCAACCTTAAAAGCGCTGAAAATATACAAAATGACCCAATCAGTAGGGAATCCAATCATTAACTCCAAATTCCCATTTAGAACTATTGCCGTCGTTTTCTTTGACCCACTCACTCCATCTTTCTCTTCCCCTCCCAATTCATTTTACCTTTGCCACCAAAAATTGAATACTACTGGAGATGGAGGGTCCGTCCGGTGGACACATGCATGAATATCTATGCTTGAGGGGTTTCTCTCCGTTGGACTTCCTTTCACACATTTAGTTAACATCCATACTCTAAAGTGATGGTTTCTCCCATGCATTTAGGTTGGCTATAGATTGGATACGGTTATTTAAGTTGTTACACATAAACATTATGAGTGTCAAACAACATTATGAAGGTGCCCAATATCGAATACGTCAAGAGTCGAGACATCTTTGTGACTCATACGCGTCAAGCATGATCGGGTCAGGCAACAAGGGACACCCTCAAAGACCAACAACAAAACTTGGCAACCCAATCTGTCAAGCATGTCCCCCTACCATCATGGCCCCAAGGGTTTCGGGCATAGAACCACAATAAAGGCGGTCCATCTTGGGCACCTTCATGACTGAGAAATATATGTCGATCAAACTCATATAAGAAGATAGAATCTCTTTCTTCACCTACTTAGAATCCTTCACCTATTTTGTATCGAAAGCTCCCTTCCTTCACCTACTTGGATATTCAAATCGATTTCAAATATTTTGGAATAATTTGTGGTTGAAGTTCCAATAAGAAAACCATTACTTAAATAATAGAGAAATAAAATCATCTAAAAGAAGAAGTAAAAACTAAACAATTATAAATGGAACAAGAAAGATCAAGTGCACAACCGAGGATTGATTTCAGGAGTAAAGGGCGTTTCTTATGCCAATCTATTCCTCTAGATTTTACTAGATTAACATTTTACTATATATAAACGTAAAGATCAATTACTGTTGCATAATAATTTGCATTTTGATACTCCAAATTTAATTAAATCACAACTTAGTCACTATAATGTACATTTTACATTTTGATACTCCAAATTTAACGTTAATGTAAAATCATTGAACAATTATATTTGGTATCTAAATTATATTATATGTAAACGTAAATTCAATTTGTAGTTTGATACCTCAAATTTAATTAAATCACAACTTAGTCACTATAATGTACATTTTACATTTTGATACCCAAAATTAATTTTAATGTAAAATCATTGAACAATTATGTTTTGGTATCTAAATTATATGAGATTTTCGTACCTACACGTTTTTAAATTTACATTTTGATACCCCAAAATTAATGTTAATGTAAAATCATTGAACAATTATATTTTGGTATCTAAATTATATTATATGTAAACGTAAAGTTCAATTTGCATTTTGATACCACAAATTTAATAAATCACAACTTAGTCACTATAATGTACATTTTACATTTTGATACCCCAAAATTAATTTTAATGTAAAATCATTGAACAATGATGTTTTGGTATCTAAATTATATGAGATTTTCGTACCTGCATGTTTTTAAATTTACATATTGATCCAATGTTTAGATTACACTTGAATCCAATCCACCAATCCTTTTGAATCAATCCACCATAACATATTTTGTTTGTACAATACAAGATGTTGTCCTTTTGAATCAATCCACCATAACATATTTAGTTTGTACAATACAAGAGGTATCACTCAACTGTAGGAGAAGATTAGACTATTTTATACTTGCTCATTACGTGAAACATTAAATAAATGATAAAAGAGACTCGACTCTAAAATATTGCAAGAGCGAATTTATAAACTCATTTAGTACATTTATGGGGTACTAAATAAACTTCTACTAACTGCATGTAACAAAATATGCGACATCTATAAGCAAGTATCAATAAATCGCTACCGTGAAAAGGGTTGACTATTGTATTGACGGCCAACTAAAAGAATTGGTCAAAACATTTCCATTATCTACTTCCTTTTCGTTTCATTTTTCACTCGCCTTCCATAACCCTTTCTTTATTTCTTTCTTTGTCTTCTTCGTCTAACCCTAATTAGAATACTATTTTTATGTATTTTAATCACAAGTATGAACGAGTCCATACACGACTCACCAACAGTCTAGAGAATTAATAATTGAACCATGCACCACTTTTTAGTTCAATGTCGAGTCCAATTAAATATAATTATATATGGTTATTACTTATTAGAAAGTCGTCATTTTCCACTATGCGATTTGAGGGTGTGAAATTTTAAGCGAGTTCATGTTTGTATTCCTTTTGCTTCTCTCTAGAGTTTTTCTTTTTCACCCTAGCTAAAATTTTCAACAATTATGTATACATGGAATGTTGGCTAGGTATCTATACATATCAAATAAATAGTTTTCATTTTTCTAGAAAAAGGTAAATAATTATTATCTTAAATACATCACCATAAAAGGAATTAAGCCTCAAAATTACAGTTTGATACCTAAACTTATTAGATCTTTAGATTTATAACCTAATTTTTTTGACCTATAAGTCCTCAAAATATTGATGGAACATATATTTTAGTACCTAAATTTTTTGTGTATTACATTTTGGTACATAAACTTCTGAAGTTCTACAAATAGGTCTAATTTTTGTATGTGTAGTTAAAACACCCTCGAATAAATGGGTATCCATACCCAACTCAACAAATTGAGATTATGGATGTAAATATTCATACCTACCCAAACCCATCTACAAACTTTCAAACCCATATATACTTTACCCATGCCCTACGCATAATCAATGGGTCTACTTGGGTTTTAGTAAATATCATTTACTAGCCAAAATTTTCAAAAAAATAATAAATTGGATGTTGACCACAATATATTTCTTTTCCGTCAATATCATATTGTCATGTCAACATTATTAACAAAACTGCACAAAAAATTAATTTAGCATAATAATACTAACAAAAAATAAATTTTAGTCTAATAATACTAACAAAACACCATAACGGGACACATAATACATGTCCATATGTCATCACTGCCCGCGACAAGGCGCGGTATCGCAACCTAGTTTATATATATAAACGTAAAACATAGTTACTTTTCACTAATCCCCTTGTCATGTAGAGAAATATGTGAGAGAGAGAGAGAGAGAAAGAAGAGAGGATCATCTCGGCTCCCATAGAACAAAATGGTTTGGGAGAAATGTAAAGGACCAACAAAATGATCTTTTTCAGAAATAACACTATTAAAAAAAATTACAAAATAGTACTCAGTCTCGAAAAATTCGAAAAAATAGCACCGTTTTTTTTTTAAATCCTAATCTAGGTGAAAACTTCAAATGAACGTATCTTTGTGTTCGGGTATCCGATCTTCTCAATATTTTTTTATTTCACATAACTTTTCGAGATCTTGCAAGTCGCAACCCGCCCGCCTTCGTCCCGAAAAAATATCGTTTGATGCCCCGAACAAGCTTTTTACAATATCGTTTGTGCTCCAAAATTCGAACGTCATGACTTTTTTTTTCATTTCGCATAACTTTTGAAGGACTACAACTTTTATCATAGACATAATTTCGAAATGTACGTGGATTTGTGAAAAGGGAAAGTAAAATTATCCCCAAAACCCTGTATATCCAATAATAATTCCTGTTTTCAAAATTTCTTCCTAGGAAAATTTGTAGTCCTTCAAAAGTTATGCGAAATGAAAAAAAAAATATTCATGATCGGATTTTGGAGCACAAAGTTATGACTGTTCAAAATTATTGAGGATTTTTAGCGTTCAAGGACTAAAACTTTGTCGTGCAAATTTCATAAATATTATTATTTTAACATTGCAATAAATATAATAAATAAAAAATATTTACAAAAATATTGTGATTAGTCGCCTAACATTCGCGTTCACGCCTGAGAGTCGAGCGGATCCGCTTAACTTGCTAGCACTCGCGTGAGCCAATGGCAAAGCAGTCTATAATATACATTTACATGGGGAATTAGCCTAAAAGTGTAGCTGCTGCATTTTATTATTATTATTATTATTATTATTATTATTATTATTATTATTATCATCATGCATGTCCCATGGTTATTGCATGGGATGGGTAGATAGGGATGGCAATGGGTCGGGTTGGATCGAGTTTTGCCAAACCAAAACCCATAGATTTATCCGGGGTAAAACCCATTAGGTTTGAAAAACTCAAACCCAACCCAACCCGTCGGGTATCCGCGGATTCATGGGTACCCACGGATTTTTGTCGTAAAAAATTTACAATAACAAGTTCCTATCAAAATTAAAGTCAAATATCAATCTCTCAATACAAATTATCCATATATAAAACACCATTCTAGAAAATTCAAGAAAATTGAAGCAAATCACAAATTATCCATAAGTAACATGATTAATTGAAAACTTCTTCCTTTCTTCTTTTTCCACTCGATAACATCAACTTCATTCTACATAATTAGAAAGAAAAAATTAGACATGTCTCCACAAACATAAATAAGATTAATTGTTTAGAATATTAAATATACCGAGAAAATTAATTATATGGGTGTGGGCGGGTACCCAGGGGCCGGGTTTACCTAAAGCCAAACCCAACCTGATGAATAGTGAAAGGGTTTAAACCCAAACCCGGCCCAAAACCCGTCAACACGGATTTTACCCGCATTAACCAGGTTGGGTCGGATGGGTACCCGTGGGTTCGGATTTTGTTGCGATCCCTCTGAATGGGTTTATGATTAATTATCATTAGACTTATTAAGTTTGGTTCAGTCTCAATATCATATATCATAGTTAGGCGGATCCGCTTGACTCTCAGGCGTGAACGCGATGTTGGGCGGCTAATCACAATATTTCTGTAAATAATTTTCTATTTATTATATTTATGGCAATATATATTAAAATAATAATATTTATGAAATTTTTCCAACTTTGTCAATATGTAATTGTTTCAACAAAAGAGTTGTAGTTTGGTGGTGTTGATGTTGTGCTAAATTTAGTTAACTATTTTTAATACTAAAATGAACGAATTAAATAGTCGCAGCAAAATGCAACATGCGATCTAGTACCATTCTAATCATACAATATACCGACTTCAGTCCCTATTCTTGTTCTATCTCAATATTCATAGTGTTGTCCGCTAATTCTAATTTGCAGCAAAATAATCAGATTATGCACGATTTCTCGTCTGCCATATTCCGATCATAAAATCACATGATTTTATACATACATGCATAATAAAATTACATGTGTAGTTTTTTTTTTGTTTAATACACTTGTATATCCAAAACTTTCATGGTTATGGCAATAATATCCAAATTTCACGAAATACCACTTATATCCATGTTTTAAAGTTGGTTTTTGCCAAATCTATCCATTTTCCAAAATATTTTTGGTTAAATACACTTGTATGTCCAAAAACACCGTTAAAGAATGTGAAGGAATTGGATATAAGTGGTATTTCGGGAAATTTAGATATTATTGGCACAACCGTGAAAGTTTTGGATATACAAGTGTATTTAACCTTTTTTTTGTCTTGGTGATGAAAGATAGTAGACGCAATCTCTCGTCTAACCTATGAATTTAACGATAACTAATAAAAAATTTATCTCTTGGATTAGATTCAAAAATAACCACGAATTTCTCACTTAGGTTAGATCCAAAACTATGCAGCAAGAACAAAGTAGTTATATGCGTAGTTTGTTGAGTTCATTAAGAAAATAGTTTTCGGAGCTCTCACTTACCTTTCATATGCGTAGAGTAAATTAACATACATACTTTGTTTCCAAAAAGCTATAAAATACATTTAACACCATCATTCAAAATTTCATTAAAATATATAAATGGTATAGTTATTGTTATTCAAGAATTCAAAAGTCAATTCTATTTTACACTAGCTTGTTGTCCGATCCGTTGGTCGGAATGTCATTGAATACAATGTATGTATAATGTGTATTTAAATATTTTAAATTGCTTGAAATGCTGAATTTCGTAGAACATTAAGGTGACATCGAAATTATTTTTTCATTTTCGAAATTCTTACAACTTTCATCAATGATGAACATTGTAAGCTTAATTGTTATAACCAAAGTTGTCAAACCGGTTTAAGTTTTTGAGCCGGTCAAGTAGTATGAAGTTTAATGGTTTGGTTGAGCTCCAACCTGTTTGAGTCGTGTTTTACAGCTTTTCTAAATATATTTACATATAAGATAGAAATTTGGTGACTGAAATGGAATGTAATAACTTATATTTATTAAAGACTCAAATTCTATAAGAAAACATACTTATTTCAAGATCCACCCACCATCCTCTTGCCTCTCTCCCCTCCCCCTTCCCTCTCTCTTCTTCTCCCTCTCTAATGATCAGACACTTGGTTTTGTAGAGCCGATTTTGGAACACGACTTTGGTCGGACCTAGTCCAACCAACCGCCTGATAGAGGTGTAACAACCTTGGTTATAACACTTATGAATAACTATTCATAAATATGAAACTCGTGATCATAGCCTTTATTCAATATTTATTTCTTATGCTTGAGAAACAATACATATATAACAGTATCTAAAACTTAAAGTATTCTGCACAATAGAATAACAAAATTAGGAAAAAAATAACATTTTTCATCCATACTCTATGCAATGAAAAAAATTATTTATCAACTAACATACTCTAAAATTTAATTGAAGTACAATCTTGTAACACCCTACATTTGAGTTTAGGTTCAATCATGATAAGTGAACGATTAGATAAACAGTTACGTACGAAGGGCTGCAACAGTAGATTAAGAATAATAATAATAACAATAATATTTATTGTTATGATTATTAATATTATAAAATTAAAAGGGAAAAGGGGAATTACAAGTTCACCTAGAGAGTCACGGGAAACACCGCCCACCGACAGACAACATATCACTAACTCCTATTCTTCTGTGACATGATCACATTTTATAATCTTCCCATACCCAGCAACCATTACTGTAACCCCATACATCGACAGGATGAGGCTAGCCATTTAATATGCATGGAATGGCAACTGTAAAATGAAATGTCGTTAGCCTCCTACAACAAGTTAAATTAGGGCTGGTAACCGGTTAGCCGGTTAACGGTTTAAACGATAACCGTCGTTTATCGTTAACTGGTGGTATCGGTATACGACAGACGAAACCCAGCTGTCGGTATACGGACCCATACTTGGTAAGTAACCGTCGGTTACTTGGTATAACCGAGTATACCGATATACGCAAAAACCCTGTCCACTTTGTCGATCAATCACTCCTCTACCATGTTCGCTCCTCCCTCTACATCTCCCTCAAAGAAAAAATTCTCTCTTTCCTCCGCAAACAGTTGCTTCATCGTGAGAGATTATATGAAATCCCCTCATCCCTTTCTCGATTTTTTGATCTAGACAATGGCGTCGCCGATTCGTCATCGTCAAAGGGATGCGCTGCGCCAGAGAGAGGGCAAGAGCGATGGATTTGCTGCTCGCCTTGCCACCGCCTTTCTGGACTCCACTGTCGCCGTCGTCGCTGCCGTTGTGGAGAACCCTGAACCCGATCCGGCGACTCCCTCTCCCTCTCAAATCCAGAACTCGATCCGACCACTCCCTCTCCCTCTTGAACCCTGAACCCGATCCGGCGACTCCTACTCCCTCTCGATTCCAGATCCGACACCATGTAAAATCCCTCGCGCGGTGGCTCTCTCTCTATTTCTCTCGAGGTAAGATTCGGTGCATTGTTGTCTCCCTCCCACGGCAGTTCTCAGTCCGTCTCGATTCCAGATCCGGAGTCGCCGCAGGCGAGTCGCTCTTCCTCTCGATTCCACTGATGCTGCCGTTGTAGAAGGACGAGGTGCGGGCGGAGATGGATTGCACGAGGGAGGAGATGAGGGGATGGTAGGGGCGAATAGAGAGAGCCAGAGAGGTGAGCGGATTTTCATTAAAAAAAAAAGAGAAAGGTGGGTTGTGACCAGACAGATATGAGGGCGGTTAACTGGGTAGGCGGTTAGTTGGTTAACCGGTTTCCTCCCGATATCGGTAGTCGGCAGCCATGTGAAGTTAAACAGTATACCGATAACCGGCTAACCGATTACCAACTAACCGGTAACCGACCGATTACCACACCTAAGTTAAATCAACTCTACTCCCCTCCCTTGAAGAACGACTCCATTCTTCCCCAACAGTAAACCAAACATCACTCACTCACTCCATCCATCTCAAATCATCTCCTCCCTAACACTGCCAATTCCTCAACCCACCATCTCGCTCATCATCAACGTGTACATCCACTTCTTTCATGTTTTATGTTCAAATTGTTCACCAAACAACACAACCACCAAAAGCTTCTCGACGTCACCATCATCGTCATTGCCGGGAAATGACCATGTAACCAGAAACTACTTCATCTCCTATCACGCACTCTCTCTCAACTAGTCGGTGGACTGAACACTTGCATAATTCAAGCTTCATTTCCCTATATTTAATTAAATTTTTTTTTTGCTGAGACCATAGTTTTGTGGTAGTTTTGACGGTATAGGAACGAGAAGATCAAACGGTAATCCAAACAAAAAACAGAGGTCCTACTAACTAGGAACTAGATTTAGGCATGCTCAAGAGGTAAGGGAACCCGACACCTTACGTTAAATTCAACGTTTATAAGAATTATATGAGTTTGTACAATTTTGGGAATTAGTGACCAAACTTACAATCTTTGAGTACGAAATTGAGGTTTCCATATCAGTCCCCCATGTATTCAGTACATACAGCTTAGTCCCTCAGATTTTTAAGTTTTGATAATTTGGCCCGAAAATCGTATTTTTCATGGTTATGTTTATTTCCGACACTTTACAGTGGGTATTTTCTTAATATGATAATTTTATAAATTTGATGAAATTAATATGATGCTCATGTTTAAATTTTAGAATTTTTGGGTTTGTATTTGTATTTATAAATATTGAACGACTGCTGAATTTAATAAATTAAAATACTGTACGAAGTTTGTTTGGTGATTTTTTAATTTTACTTGAAACTAGGATTATTTATTGATGTTATAAAATTATGGGTCAGAATTATTAGTTTTTTTACTCGGTTTAAAATTATATATGATTCATTTTAATAGGAAAAAGAGGTTATTTAAAAGAGGGCTTATGTTTATTAATTGGGATTAATGATTTGAGTTAACCAAGGTCAGAATTTGGAGTCATAAGTGAAAAATATATTTTGAGAAATTTATGAGGGTTTTATGAGAACTATTTTAAGAGTTATTGAATTGCATGAGATGATTTAATTCTTGATGAAAGGGTTGAAAAGTTCTTTTTTTTTTCTAGGCAAGCCCAGAGGGCATGGGAAAAAGACTCGCCACGATTATTAGACCGACTCAAATACAGCGCGTTAGTCTGTTTGCAACCAGACTACGATGAGAGAGCACGTTAAGCCACTACTTGGGCAGCTCTGATGAAGCTCCAAGGAGCAAAGACACGACACTGACGGGAAAAAACAAAAACAAAACCCGACATCTCCAAGATAGTCCCGCCAAAGAGTGTAGTTTCCTTCGATGAAGTATGTGGTTGACCAGAATTGAGTTGCCAAAAAAAGACACAACAAAGAAAAGAAAAAGTTATTAGCAAATCTTCGACATAGCATGCTTAATTATTCTCATAGATTTGTAAAAGCGAATAAAATGAAACTATAGCCTGATAGATCGATGAAACTTATTTAACTTTTTTTTAATTACTTTCATACCATATGAGCACCTGCAAAATGCCAACCAAATTCACATCGATGGTGCTAGAAATCTCTATCACAAGATATTAAATCTTGTCTTTGAGACAAAGTCGATCTTATCGAAAATACATCACCAACCGTATTATTCACCTCTTGTAAGTGCAGAACACTACAATCAGTAAGGTTGTCCAAATTAGAAAAATTAAATCCTACTAAAATTACAAAACTAAATAAATTAATAATATTACTATAGCTACTGTAGATAATATAAGATGGAAAAATAAATAACCTGAAAAGTATAGGTTTGAGCAAATGATTTAAAAGAGATTGAGGGTCATTTTTAAAAGATCTTGAGACTAAGTAATCAATGAAGGAAATTTTCCCAAAACGTTAACGGGACTAAATATGAGGATTACCGACTAAGGGAAGATGATTTCAGTTTATAGGATTGAGGAAGCGATCGGATTAAGGATTTCACATCCAGGAAACTATGACTCATCATTTGAGAAGTGAGTGGTTTAAGGAGGTAAATTCCACGCCTTATGTATTTTCAAGTTTTTTACTTACGAGTTTTAAGTATGTGTGTTTATGTGAATTGTATGCCAGTGATTTATTTATGTCGTGATTGATAAAACATGTTTTATTTGAGATATTATCTGAGATGCTCTATTTGAGTTATGATTGTGAAGTATATGATTATTTGAGCTTTCAGTATTTACTTGAAGCTTTTATATTATGTTTATTTAATGAAGGTTGTTTGATCTTTAAGGATCAACAATGAAGAGGTATTTCACTCCTAATTAAATTAGGGTGAAAAGATTTAATGCTAGTTCACTAACGCCAGTAGGGCTGTCAATTTGGTTTTGGTTTTTTGGTTTTAACCGAAACCAAACCAATTGGAAAGCTAATGGTTTCAAATTTATGGTTTTAAACCAATAAGCAACTTAATGGTTTTGGTTTGGTTAAAACCGAAAAACCAATATAAACAATTAAGAAACCAATAAGAATAAAATTATTTATCAATAAATATTTTTTTTGTTTCTTTTGACACGCATGCCAACCAATAATTTGTTATGGCCATTTACCATTATTATGACGTTTATTCAATAAAAGGAGGGAAATAGGAATAAATATGAGTGTATGAGTACATGTTAGTTTTTTGGTTATCCAAAACCAAAATCATTAAGGCCCTTATTGGTTTTTGGTTGCCAAAAACCAATAAGGGCCTTAATGATTTTGGTTTTTTTGTTCTAAAAACCAATAAGGGCCTTAATGGTTTTGATTTTGGTTTTTGGTTTTTCATACTTAATGGTTTGGTTAACCAAACCAAACAAAATTGACAGCCCTAAACGCCAGTCCCCCGCCCCAGTGAAAGATTAAAGGAAGAGCAAGTTTGCTCTTAAGGAACATGTGGATGAATTACTTAGACATCATATGAAGTTTAAAGGAAGAGTATGATATACTCTTAAGGTTTATGGGGCTGAATCAATTACTCCCATAAAAAGGTTTAAGGAAAGGTCTTTGTTCGCCCTCATACGTATGAGCTGGGTGGCTGGACTAGTTAGTGAGGGGATCCCAGTGTCTGTGAAAGGTTTAAGATTTTGATGGTGGTAAGTAACAATAACTCCCACGTTTTTAAGTGTTAAAATTTAAAGGGTGGAAGTATGAACAACTTTCACAATTGGTGCAGAAAAGAAATTCACGTAACTCTGTCTTCGTGCTTTAATGATCGAGAGTTGTATTTTATATCGTTGAAACATTTGAATTCCATACCAAGCAACTCATAAATATGTCTGGTGAAGTTGTAGAACCAATTGATCGTATTGATGAAATTTCGTGAAAATATTGGTTAGTGGATTTATGTACAAAAGGATACACATGTGAATGTTATTTTATTTGCCAGAAAAATAAAATTTGCGGGTGAATATTAAGCCAATATTAATTGTGACAATTACTACCAAGAAACATCACTCTGTAGTTAAAATAATATAAATAAATAAGTGCTTACCTATTTGGATCACACCTATCTCAATCCAAAATCCAATAGTTATTTTATCCTCCTTCTATCCAACCTAACTATTTCTCAAATCTTTCAACTACCTCTAATTTAACCAAAGATATATTATTTCCAATTAATAATAATATTTTTATTTTATCGACATTTAAAATATCATATTCAGTATATAGCACATCACACGATTTGTTATATATCGAAATATAAAAAGAATGATGTAAGAGTGTTAAAACAATTGCAACAAATACTTAAAACTATGATAAACTTGGTAGTAGCGATGATTATTGAACCTGTCCCGCCGGGTATTACCTGACTTGATTCGTGATGGGGCACCCAGTAGCATGGGGTGGACATGCGTACTACTTTCGCCCTGCGTCGCTCTGTCTCTCCCGTTCTTAACCCGTTTTACCTTGATTGATCTCAATATTGAATTATATGTTTCATATTTTTACTCTTCATAAATCATATTCTCACACAAGAAAACTTTAGATCAAGGTTTTCGACCTGGTTTATCCTATTGGTCCGATCGATCTAGTGGTTCAAGGATTAATACGTCAATTGATTTATCACAATTTAACCTGGTTATATAAAAAAGTCATTAGATTATAAATATATAAAATTTGGTCTAACATATAGATAATAACATATTCGTCTAACATATAGATAATAGCATATTCGTACTTGAACTCAAAACATTCGGCTGATTTTATAATCCAAAAACACCTAATTTCTGTAGTATCCATGCGTGTTCATTTATTGGACTTTTTTCATACATAGGACTGTTTTAAAAATTATTTCCAAAAATAGCCAGTCCTGAAAAACTCCGAAAATGGCACTTTTCTCGAAAATCGCAGGGTGGGGGCGCGGTTTCCGACGAAAACCGCACGGGTAGGCGGCTGTTTTGTTGACCGCATGGGGCCGGAGCAGTTTGTAATCAATGTCTTTTTTTCAAATAATCATAATAAGTGGTCATGACATAACTGGTTCAGTTGTTTCTTTGTATGCAGGAGGTCCTTGGTTTGAAACACTATCATCTTATATTAAATCTTTTTATTTAGTAGATTAAAAAAAGCAACAACATACTGTGGAGGAGGTTGTTCGACGGGAACACCCGTAAGTGATTCAAGTTTAAGTAATGGCGTAGACTGACTCCAACCCACTCACCGGGTCGTAGAGGAGGATCTAGGGAGCATCCAGTCGAGGGGCATACAATGAGAGAGC